CCATGAAATTAAAAGACACTTGCTCCTTGGAAGAAAGGCTATGACCAACCTAGACAGCATATTAAAAAGCAGGATATTACTCTGCCAACAAAGGTCCATCCAGTCAAAGCTATTGTTTCTCTAGTAGTCATGTATGGATGTGAGAGTTGGACTATAAAGAAAGCTGAGTGCTGAAGAATTGATGCTTTTGAACTGTGGTGTTGGAGAAGACTCTTGAGAGTTCCTTGGACAGCAAGGAGATTCAACCAGTCCATCTTAAAGTAAATTAGTCCTGAATGTTCATTGAAAGGACTGATGCTGATGCTCCAATACTTTGGCCACCTGATGCGAAGAACTGACTCATTGGAAAAGATCCTGATGCTGGGAAAGATTGAGGAGGCAGGAGGAGAAGGGGATGACAAAGGAAGAGATGGTAGGATGGCATCACTGACTCGATGGACATGAGTTTGAGCAAGCTCCGGGAGTTGGTGATGGACAGGGAAGCCTGGCATGCTGCAGTCCATGGGTTTGCAAAGAGCTGGACACGACTGAGTGACTGAACTGAACTGAACAGTCTAATGCACAATTCACAAACCTGGTTTCATACCTGAATTACCCAAGGAGCTAAACAAGCAAATAAAAACAAACCTATGTCCAGGCTCAGTCCTGCAGACTCTGATTTAACTGGTCTGGACAATAGTCTAAAATAGAGTCAGTATTTTCAAAAAGTTCCTGGCCTGATTCTAATGAAATGTACTGTCAAGGTTGAAAATTACCTTCGTAATGGATAAAAGAGGACAGTGAGCAAATATAAGTGAAGTTCTCTAAATTAGCCAGTTGAGCTAATCTTGAATAGTCAGCCTGACTTCCTGCTTTAGAATCTTCAAAACTCCACCTCAAGGCCACTGAGCATCCTCAGCCCTACCAGGTTCTATGAGCAGTCAATTTTCAGAAACTGGGATTGGTCAGTAGGTTGTCAACCCAAACCCTGCTCATTATTCCTTTTGGAGCTCCAGTTTTCTAGCCTGCCTTGCTCCTGGTGAGAAGTCCTGACTTCCAGTAACTCAGTTCCTGCTGGGGACTCTGCCTGTCTCTGGGTTCTCCTGCCTCTCACCTCAGTTCCCCTGCCTGCTGCAAGATTTCTGATAAGAACACAGGCAGCCAGTTCCACCCTCCGGATCACCTGCCACACCTTGGCAGGTCTCTTTCTTGTCTTCCTTCTGATCTAGCTCATCTTGCCTCCACCTGCAGCCCAGATCTGACACAATCCACACAGATACTGTTTGAAAAAAGATCAAATATCAAGACTAGAAGTGTGTCGTATGTACCAACAAATCTACTCTAAATATTTTCCAGCTCATTCTTCATACAGGCTTGTTCAGCTACCAGATTTCTTGGGGAAGCACGGCACATTTTTGTTCCTTGTTACCAGCATGACCAGACTGTGTGGTAGTGGCTGAGTTACATCTGCTGGCATTTTCGTCAACTTCAAAAGGAGACCAGTGGCCCTACCAACCCCAGTGGATTAGGTTAACTTTTACCTGGAATTCAAATTACACTCGAGGTATCTTGTCAGATGCATTTGAGGTTTGCTATTACATGATAAGCTTTATTTTCTGTCTGAAATATTAATAATGTGTTCCAAAAAGAGTTGTTTTTCTGAAATAGCAATCCAAGTCTCACATTCCAAACCCTGAAACTGATAACAGATCCTCAACCCCCATCCCGGGACCCAAATATTTTAGCATAAAATAAATACCTGGTTAAAAGTAAAATCTGGCATTTAATAAAGTTAGTAAATGCAGACAACCATAGGCTACATAATAGTTTTTTTTGTCAATCTTGTGTGTTCCTATTTATTTGGGGTTTTGTTGGAGTATAATTGCTTTACAATGTTATGTTAGTGGGAAGCTACGATATAGCACAGGGAGCTCTTGGTGCTCTGTGATAACCTAAATGGGTGGGATGGGGTGGGATGGGAGGGAGGTCCAAGATCGAGGGGATACATATATATGTATATCTGTAGCTGACTTACTTCTTTGTATAGCAGAAAATAACACATCACTGTAAAGCAATTATACTCTAATAAAAAATGCATTTAAGTTTCTATGGGGATTTATGAAACCTCAGCACCTTGTCTGTAGCCTGTTTAACTATAGGCAATATTTTGTGACCCTCTGTCCAGGCTTCCATCATGCTGTGCTATACACTGATTTTCCCTAGATTGCAAGCTCAGTAGGCAGTGACGTCATTTTACTCTACTCACGTGGTGCCCACACAGCACCTGGCATGAAGCAAGTGTGCAGGAGGCACATGAATGCGCCTGAACATTCATGCAGGAATGAATGCGCCTGCTGCCTGTGGAACAAGGACCAGTGTCTCCGGGGTTTGGGCTCCTTCATGGCGATGCTTCAGGCTTCCCTGGTGGCTCAGTTGCCAAAGAACCTGCCTGCAATGCAGGAGACCCAGGTTCGATCCCTGGGTTGGGAAGATCCCCTGGAGAAGGAAATGGCAATCCACTCCAGTATTCTTGCTTGGGAAATCCCATGGACAGAGCAGCCTGGTAGGCTACAGTCCATGGTGTTGCAAGAGTCAGACACGACTTAGCAACTAAACCACCACCGTGGCAATGCTTCAGGTCAGCATCTTGACTTGGTATGTCCCAGGAATCTTTCCTAGGTTGGAGCCAGTGGTTCCTGAGCAGGTTAATCTGATGCTGTTTAGTCTGCAGCTGTTGTTTGTAATTATATTCTGGGAATGAAACGGCCACAAATTGACTTTGGGAGCCTTATCCTGCACCAGTGAAACAACACTCTCCCCTAGGACCCCACCAGCAGACCCCTTTTTGAAGGTACACTTTCCATCATGGTGGCTTTGCTAATGTCCTGCCTGGCCATCTGCCATCCCAAGGGTTATTGATGAGAAAACAAGAAATCAATTTAAGCTTTCTTCAGTCAATTCACTGCTTAACAGGTGCTTTTAACTCATCAATGACTAGATTAAGAGTTTATTTGTATAGTAATCTAAATGTTCTTACGTGAGTAGCCTCATAGTTGGGCCCTTCAGCACGTCCACTCAGCACCTTATATTTCTACACAGTTGGTACCTGCAGGGTGTGATTTCTATAGAGATCTGTGTCCTCATGTCTTTGTGTGTTACCTTTTATCTGGCACATGCATTCCCAGCATTTTTCTGCTTTCTCATGACATTTTGCAAAGAGCACTTATATGAAGTATGGCACTCTCTCCCGACACACCTACTATACTTTGGTACAAGAAGGTCACTCCTGTCGCACCCAGCTCTAGAGGGTAGTTACAAGAGTAGCTGAAAGTAGTTTGTGAAGTAATAGGTTGAAAGGGGCAGGTACTTTCTCAAAGGGTGCATTTGATATTCTCTTTAAGCATCATGAAGTGAGAGCAGAATTTTCTATATTTACATTCTTTTCTTATCATAAAAACAAATATCACATTATATATCTGCTCTTTATTTAAATCTAGAAATAGGGAAGAGTTGAAGTGAGGGTGCTTGACTAGAATGAATATAAACTTAAAATAGGTGGTTAGTACTTTTTTAATCCTCTCTCATTTCTACTGCTTTCTTTCATGCAACTTTAATGAACTGACATATATAACTTTGAAAAGTGATAGAGACTAAAAGACAAAATAAGTATTATATAATGGTCTGGAGCTATTTGCCCAGTGAACACTGTAAACTTTGTTCTCGTAACAAAGGGAAAGACTGTCTTTCCTAGTCCAGTCATGGCATCTGGAAACTGGGCCATGAGGGCTGCCTCAGCTCTATAGATCATTCAGTCAGGACTGCTGTTAGCTTAACCCAGGGGTCAGCAAACTATGACTCATGGGCTATATCTGGACCATTGCCTCTTTCTGTATGGCCTGAAGGCTAAAAATGGTTTTTACATTTTAAAATAGCTTTTAAAAATCCAAAGAAAATTAATAGTTCAAGATGTGAAAATTAGTTACAATTCAAATTTCATAATGCATATAATTTATCATATTATATAATGCATCTATCATGCACAATAAAGTTTTACTGATACACAGCCACACTCACTCATTTATGTATTGTGTACAGCTACTTTTGTGCCACAGCAGAGTTGAGGATAATGACAGGCACCATATAACCATAGCGTTGAAAATATTTACTATCTGGCCCTTCGCAGAGAAAATCTGCTAATTCCTAGTTTAACTTAGTAGCTACAATGATATAAACCCTACTTTTGTTTAAGGATCATGTTTGCTCTCTGAGCTGTTCCAGCTTCTAATGTGGTAGAAAAATATTCTTGTGGGAGTTAATGGCCACTGTATAACAGAAATAATGTCCCAGGAATGTATACTTTAAACAGTTGGTCCAGGAAGCATAATTTGATCAAGAATTTTCATGTTTTTAAGTACGAACCAAAGTAGCCCTAAAAGTGAAGTGAAAGTGTTAGTCGCTCAGTCGTGTCCAACTCTTTGCGACCCCATGGACTGTAGCCCGCCAGGGTTCTCTGCCCATGGAATTCTCTAGGCAAGAATACCGGAGCGGGTAAGCCATTCCCTTCTCCAGGGAATCTTCCAGACTCAGGGATCGAACCCGAGTCTCCCACATTGCAACCATTTCAAACCTGGCTCACCCCTGCCCTGAGGTCCTGTGATGGGGTAAATGACTGTCACATCTGACAGTCATACTTAGGCTTCCCTTGTGGCTCAGCTGGTAAAGAATCCGCTGCAATGTGGGAGACCTGGGTTCGATCCCTGGGTTGGGAATACCCCCTGAAGAAGGAAAAGGCTACCTACTCCAGTATTCTGGCATAGAGAATTCCATGAACTGTATAGTCCATGGGGTCGCAGAGTCGGACACGACTGAGTGACTTTCACTTTTCACTGTCATACTTATCAGTCATTTGGATACTGTACAGTGATGATTTTGAAAATGAGGAAAGACATAGAAGTAAGACTGAATGTTACTTTGGTATCTTACACAGATGAGTAAACTTTAACAAAAAAGTAAAAGCCCACCTGGGCGGGTTTCGGCCACAACAGGCCCAGCAAGCTCAGACGGCTTCCCAACACCAGCCTGGTTTATGGCTCGAACTCGGAACACGTAGCTCTCACCCTCTTTGAGGCCTTGCACCTGGAAGAAGCAGGTATAGAGGTGACAGTCACTCTGTGTCATTTGAACAGAAGTGCTCTTCCCCTGTCGAGGTGATTCAATTATACAGCACAAAATTTGGGTTCTAAACGTCATCCTGTCAGAGACTAAGTGTGCTAAGACTTTCTTCTTTCCCAACCATGTGTAATTAGACATTTCCAAGATCCCTTGAAACTCAGATGTTCTCTCTTTTTTAGATAATTTAACAGCCACGAGCATCAGAAATAGGAGATAGATACCCGTATGTTTTATAGGCATTAACCACCTTATTCTTTGGTCAAATGACAAAGTGCTCACAAGAGCATATGGGCTGCCCTCTTTTCCTGGTCCTTTTGGAATATTCCAGAGTAATTTCAGATAGAAGTTCTGGCAGGAGAGGGGAATTACAAGCATGGATCTTAGATCATGCATCGCTTTCCATTTGTTTAAAAGCATGTTAAAGCATTAGAACAAAAACAAATAGAAACTGTCCTTGTAAATTTAATATAGCTATTTCTCACTAAATAGACAAGCAACTAACATGGCTGCAAATTTCGGTAATTTGTGAATAGTCAAATGTATTCAAATTTCAGGTCCTCACATTGTCATGCATCAAGAAGATGTTTGCTGAGGACCTATATTATAAGTGTACCACTGAGCTAGAGTTACAAGAGCGTAAGGAAAGTAAAAAAGAATATTTATAATATGCCTTTATATGACAGTCCCACTTCATAAATTTTTGTGACTTTCTTTGGGTTCAGCACAGTCTCATAAAGAAAGAAACAGTATAAATATTATCAACATTCTACAATAATTATCTTTTTTAAAACATTTGACTTTTTAAACCTATATTGTACTTTAAGAAGGAATTTATTATACACAGAGGACACAGTTTTTCCCATAGTCTTGTGATGGAGATTAACATCCAAAATGGGATTTAAATCACACAAAGCTAGAACATATTTACTCAGCCAAGCAAAGTGTTTGTGACCATGGATTTAGGTGAGCTATGTATTAAATTGTTGGGTTTTTAATCTAATGATTTAATTGTGCTGTGTTTATGATAACACTATGCTACAGTTATGATAACAGAATGTTACTGTTAACGATAGCTTTTACTGAAGCTAATGGATTTTTAAAATGATTTTAATCTGTAAATGAACATGAATTTAGGCACACGCTAAATGCATAGAGTTTGATGTATTTAAAGTCCATGTTTAGAGATAATGTCAGGCAACTGTGGATCTTCAAAAAGGAACAGAAACACTTCCTTGTTGTGATAAAAATAGACCAGTTGCCAGGTGCCTGTCACATCTGCACCTGCCGCTCAGGTAATCTGTGACCGTTAGATTTCTGCAACACGGCACAGGAAGGAGATCCACACATCCCGTGTCCAGTCGCTGGGGTGGCAGGCACACCCCTGCGCCCTTCCATGACTGCAGGGCAATGACCACTAGGCTTAAAGCACCGGAGATATGCCACATGTGCACACATAACATCTATTTTCCCTTTCTTAGGTTTGTTTTCCTCCTCAAAATTTCTGGAAGAACTGCATTCCCTTGCATTCTTCATCCTTGTCCCCTACCCCTTCCAATTATTCACTCCCTTCTCACCACACTGTCTCAGCAGATTGTAATTACCAATAAAAAAGGAAGTGTGAGCTCAGCTGGTTAATTTTTTGATGTAAAGCAATGCACCTTTAACTCCATCTAGGAACCCCCAGACACTCATGCACACATGAACAGCGGTGCTTCTGGCAGAAAACAGCTAGCCCACTAAGTTCTGTGCAATGATGCTAAAATCTCCTGTTCCTGGAGTTATTAACATATCTCCTTTCTTCATCTAAACTTGATAAAGTTTTTTAATGTGTACATTTTTTTCTCCATTTCAGTCTTGAAACTTTTCCAGATATGAACCACCTGAAAGAGGGACTCCACATCACCACAGGTAGGGAGATTATGGGAACCTCAACTTTTTTTTCCTTATGTCTTTACTGTTTGAATTTATCATCATTAACATCTATCCATTCTATAACCAGAAAAGTCAATACTCTTTTTTTCACTTTAAAAATTGTGGCCAAATTCTAAGCTCATTTCCTTACAGAGAGTTCATCTTCTGTTTTGGGAGGGGCACTCAACCTCAATCTCCTTCTTCCCCCTAAATTTGCCTTTCTTCTGTTTCTTGTCTTTTTTTTTTTTAATGAGTGACATTAAACATTCTTTGATCTGCTTAAACTCTCTTATTTCTTCCTCCTGTCCATTTTTTTCTAGGCTCCGGGCCCCTTTGGCTCCTGTATGTGGGACTGTTGGGACCCCTGTGCTATGGCTGATGGAGGATCTGGAGGTCACGGGAGCTGTACGCACACACCACCACCATCTAGGATGTGTCCAACCTCTTTTACACTGACTTTTGGGTGTGTTTGCATCCAGAGGCCTCCTGGTTCTCTGGACAGATAAACCGCATCCTAGCTCCAGAACTTCCTTGACCTTTTCTCTGCCCCAGGAAATGTGACCTTCCTTATCTCCTCATGGTTTTGTAAGGGGCTGGCGAGTTTACTGCATGTGCTAAGCTGAGTTAATGGCATGTTGGGTGTAACAGTTTAAGAGTCACCTCTCCTGGAGAATATATCTATGTTTTTATGGGGACTAAAAATGTCTTAACCCCAGGGCACTCTCTGACAGATGGTGTTGACTCTAGTGGCAGGTTGACAAGAGAAGTCTCTTAAAGTAGGTATACTCTGAGAATCCCCCAAGGCCTTCCCTCTGGGCAGGGGCCTATTCCGCCAGCAGATAAGGCTGCACTTTGAATGCCTGGGCAGCATTCTGTCTGACTGTGATCGAACAGTCACATTCCATTCTGAGTAACGGGAATCGGAGTCACATTCCCTACAGTTTCCGAGGCTATGCTCTGGACTTGGGGTGTCCATATGCCATGACTGACAATAGGGGAAAACATGCTTTTGAAGTTTCCATTTAGTCCTAGTGAGAGGGTCAGTGGCTATAGCAGAACCATCTCTGGTAGATGGAAGTTAGAAACTTGTTTGGTTAGAACACCCTAGAGGAAACTGGAAGGCAGTGACATGGATAAGGGTGACGTCAAGGTCAAGAGTTGAGTCATTCTTCTGGTCCCTAAGAGCTCACGTGAGCACAGGTGAGAGAGGGCAGGTGAGGTGAGGCCATGCATGACTCAAGGGATCGGAGTTCAAGGCTCACAGGTGTGAACTCTATGCAAATAACACCCTCAAATCAAAAACACCCTCAAAAATATGTCAGGTAGGAATGAGAATGTCACCTTTGGAGGATAGTAAGTAATAACATCTTAAGACTGGAAGTAGTGAAGATATGAGGTGGGTAAGTGGAGGTGAAGAGGAAAACAAGAGAGAGGAGAGGTAATTTCTAAAGCCAGGCAAAGAGATTTGGGTCAAATTATAACCAAATTGGTTTAAGCATCAGAAACTTCCCCAAACCCCACCCACTGCCAAATGGAAGCCTACCAGTAGCCCAACACATGACACCAACCAACACTGAGATGCTCTGCTTTATCTCATTGACTTTAAAATTACCCTGTTAGAAGAACCCTTTTTCTTTAAAAAAAAAAAAAGAAAGAAAGACGGGGCGGGGGGGGGGGGGGAAATTTCTCAAACTGTGAGCATCCTCTGACCTTCAGGTATGTGTGTTTCAGAGCCGCCTCATTGAGTCCTCGCCACCGGTCCTCTCTGGCACTGGCCTCCTTTATGTCCACAAAGTAGCCAGTGACTGGAGTCCGTCCTGAGTGGATGGGAGGCTTCCACTGCAGAACCAGGGAGGTTTTCCTGACTTCACTGTACTTGAGACTGTGCGGTGGTCCTGAAGAGCGAAAGACAGAGAGACCCATGTGTAAAAATCATAATGGAGATAAGAAAACTCCATTGTGTGTAAACCTAGAGTCATATTCACAGTCTTAAACTGAAACTTATACTGGTCTTCTTCTCTTGTAAAATCTACTATTTCCATGGAAACAGGAATTTTGTAGTCATTTCATACCAAGTTTTCTTAGTGGCTCTACATCAGCCTATTTAAGACCCTTTATGGGCAGCAAGTGGTTAAGGCCAGTTCGAGGTGCCCTCCAGCGGCTGGATGAAGTGTTGCCCTCAGGCTGTCCTCAGGCCTGTGTTCCTCACCTTTTACCAGGACAGTTTAATTTGGTTGCAGATTCAGTTTCTGATTATTTTTGGCTGACAATCTGAAAATGTCCCCCAATCTCAATTATGATGAAGCAAACAACTCTATTTGATGGCTTGTGAATACAGAAAAAGAAGTATATGGGACATGCCTCGTGGTCCAGTGGTTAAGAATCAACCTGCTAATGCAGGAGACACAGGTTTGATTCCTGGTCCCGGAAGATCCCACGTGCCTCAGGACAGCTAAGCCTGTGTACCACAACTACTGAGTCTGTGCTCTAAAGCCTGGGAGCCGCAACTGCTGAAGCCTGCATACCCTAGAGCCTGTACTCCACAAGAGAAGCCACCACAATGAGAAGCCCACACACCACACCTAGAGACAGCCCTTACACACAGCAATGAAGACCCAAAGTGAAAGTGAAGTCGCTCAGTTATGTCCGACTCTTTGCTACCCCATGGACTGTAGCCTACGGGCTCCTCTGTCCATGGGATTTACCAGGCAAGAGTAAAGGAGTGGGTTGTCATTTCCTTCTCCAGAAGATCTTCCCTACCCAGGGATTGAACCTGGGTCTCCCGCACTGTAGGCAGATGCTTTACCATCTGAGCCCAACACAGCCAAAAATAATCAATAAATACAGTTTTTTCAAAAAGAAAAACAAATTTATTGCAAAATAGCTCCTCATTGGAAGGATACCCATAAAGCATATATTTCATATGGGGTAAAAACAAACTATACTTGTGGTTACAAAGAACTTTCACCAAAACAAATACATTCAATTCCATGGGCCCTGAATCTGTGCTAAACCTTACCAGGCACTTAACACTCTTTTATCTCATCCCTTCCTAAGACAACTAACAGAAAGCTCAGGGAAGCCAAGGAACTTGATCAACCTGTTCTGGAAGGAAACCAAACATTCCCTGTTCTTTGCACTCTTGGGAGACTCCCAGCTACTCAGTGATTACCTGCATGACAATCTTTGCATGACTATCAGCTGCTATGCAGGTGATACAGTTATTTGTTTTCCTTTTTTTTTTAAATAACAAGTGATTTCTAACCAACCAATCAAAATCACCTGAACTGACTCGTGGTGGCCTGAGAGCCAACGACAAGTGCGAACTCCATCATGTTATGCCTTGGGGTTTTGCTATGGATCGCTCAATGTTGGCTGGGCCCTTGACCTCGGCTTAACAGTCACAATGAGTCATCATCTCCTGATGATGCCTGGTGTGGAAATAGGTTTAAACAATAACACTAGTACCTTACCCTGGCATGGCATGTTCTGTTATGCAGATAGCTTCCATGACCGTTGTCCTCTGTCATCCTCAGGAGCCAGGGAGCCATCCTAACAGTAGCCCAAGCCCTGTTTTCCAGGCAAGGACCACCGCACTGCTGCTTCCTAACCCCCACGTCTAAGAATGAGCAGACCTAGCTTCCAAACCTAACTGCCACTTAGTGCCTTTGTGACCCCCTGATTATCTTTTAACCTGAGTCTGTTTCTTCATCTGTAAAACAAAGGGATGACAAAACATCCTAAATGCTCTCATATGTCATCAGGCTTTCTTGACTCATGATTTGCCCAACACTTCTCAGTAAGTCAAGGGTGGATCTGGGAATAGACAGGTCTTGGGGATGGAGAACTGCCCCATTCATTTCTCCTCTGATTTGGGAGCACTCACCCTGCAACCTCTTTTGCTAACTACATCGCTTTCTATCAGATCATTTTCCATAGGCTTGCTCAGAATTTGTTGGTCTCTAGTCACTCACATTTTAATTTTATTCAGGAATTGCAAGAATTTAAAAACAGACCCACTTTTGTGTAGGAGGCAGAAAGAACTTAAGAAATAGCACCAGCTTCAAGAAAGTGCTAGGAAAGGCAGTGTGTTTACCCCTTGGATTTACTGAACCTGAGTGAACACTTGAACTTCTCTTGAGTTTCTTTTGTAATCCTTGTACTCACACGTGATAGAGATGTGATACATATGGATACTGGCTAAGCTAAGGCAAAAATACAGTTCTCCAAGGGTGCTAAGGTCTCACCAGAGGAAGACGGTGGCCCTGGGACCAGACTGGGTCCATTCAGCATGCCCAGGGTGGCCTGGGGTTCCAATGTGGTTGATGTTGGTGTCACAGCAGGTATTAAACAAGCTGAATATCAAACCCAAGTGGGAGAGCTTAGTCATTCTGTGGCACTAAAGTATTTGGGTCTTTAAAGTTAGTGACATTGGAAGCAGAATAAAACCATCCACCAAATACATTAATGTTGCTAGTCTGATGCTGGGCTTCACTGGTGGCCCAGTCGGTAAAGAATCTGCCTGCAATGCAGGAGATCTGGTTTGGATCCCTGGGCTGGGAAGATTCCCCTGGAGGAAGGCATGGCAACCCACTCCAGTATTCTTGCCTGGAGAACCCCCATGGACAGAGGATCCTGATGGGCTGCAGTCCCTGGGGTTGCAAAGAGTCAGGCATGACTGAGCGACTAAGCACAGTTTGACTCTTAATGACTTGGCAAATTAGTTAGTATCCAGTCTTTAGATTTGTTCACTGTTGTAACTGTGTAAGAGTTAAAGGCATAGGTGAATGTTTCTGGCTTCTCCCTATTTTTTTCAGCCGACCACCCTCTATGACAATCTCCGAAGTAGAGTATTTCCAGTTCAGTTCCAGGATCTTTGTTGTGATGCAGAGATGGGGAAAAGTTGACATAGAGAGACAGGGCTGGGGAGGTAAGTAAAAGATTTAAGAGGATCAGGGCAGGACTTAAGTCCTAGGCAGGCACATGGGGTGCCCTGTGTGTATAGTGAAGAGCTGGGATCCAGGGAGGAGGAGACAACAGGAAGGAGGCCATGGAGGCTGGGTCTGGGGAAGGGGGTCGGGGGAGATTGATAAATGAGAGGCTCCAGAGCATTAAGAGAATGTGCAACAACTCAGGAGTGCAGGAAGACGCTTTAGAGAAATTTAGCTGGGATGTGTGAATTGAATGTCTTTCAATGCTCTTTAAGAAGCACAAGCAAAGATGGGTATTTCTGTTTAATAATCAAGGTGCTCTGTCCATCTTACTCCATACAGAGGCTGAGCTATGGGGACTCTAGGATTTATCTGGGATATAAGAAATTTATACTCAGTTTTATATTGGTTCCTATTAATAGATTTGTAAAAATATTTTATGTAAACATGAGGGGCTGAGAGAATTTGTCTCCCTTAGAAGCTATGTAGCACTTAAATTTAGTTCCAGGTTGTAGGATCCATTGGAAGAAGCTCTGTGCCTCAGTGCTGAGACACAGTCTCCCCGAGTTACCTGGAACAGCAATGGTCCATTCTTCACATTTGAAGCTGGCGCTTATTGCTGAGGGCGCTCCCAACCCGGCAATGTTCATGGCCGCCACTTGGAACTGATACACCATGTTCTCCTTCAGATTGCTTATCTGCAACATGGACAGCATCACAGAGTGAAGGTTTCAGGTTTGTTTCAACATTGCATTTATTTAGAGTCTGTGTTGGACATACTCTAGGATGATCCCCAGTGAGTCACACCCTTCTTGTAATCTCCTCTTGAATGTAGGTGAAACCTGAGACTTGCTTCTGGGCAACAGAACAGGGCAGACTATTGGAATATCAGTGCTGTGATTTATGTTGCATCAAATGGCAAAGGAGGAGATACATTTCATATGTAATTAAGATTACTAATCAGTTGGTTTTGAGTTAATCCAAAGGGAGATAGATTATCCTGACTGTGATACTGCAATTTATAATAAGAAATACATGTTTTGTCTTTTGTCTCCATTCCTGGTACAGAGCCCCTAAAACTCTTGGAATTTCCCAAGTGATGAGAGTGACAAATATCTTTTACTGTGTTAACGAGGTGATTTTCAGAAAGCATCTAAAGATGGGGCCTGACTGCCAGGGCAACTAATCATGTGCTTAGAGGGCGGGAACTTTCAGCCTCATCCCAGACCTCAGGACCTCTGGAGAGGGAAGATGGTCTGGAGATTAAGTTCAGACACCAGTGGCCAATGATTTAATCAATCTAGTCTATGTAGTGAAGCCTCCATAAAACCTGCTTCTTTTATACGTATCCTGCACTGGCAGTTCTTTACCACTAGTACCACTTGGGAAGCCCACAGAAGGCCACACACTTACCTTATATGCCTCATCACTGACAGCTTTGATGTTGGCTTCTCTCCATCTTCCTGGTACCCCGTCGATTACTTCACGATAGTTCACATAATAGCCCGTAATTTCAGCCCCTCCAGTCTTATCTGGCTGCTTCCATCCAAGAACCATTGAATCACGAAAACTTTCGAGACAGGTGATGTCACAGGGTGGAGATGGTGGTGCTGTTGTAACATGAAGAGCTTGTGAGTGGACAGAACTGCTTCTGTGATTCTACGTCCATCAAACTGTTTCATTGATGCCATGCGGGAGGGCACTAGGTCTTGAGTGTAAAACTAAAAGGTAATACCAGTAAGCAACTTGGTGTCCATTTGATGTTCAAGGAAGAAAACTGACATACAGTAAAAACTGCACCACAGTTATTATTCCAAAGATAAAAAGAACCTGCCCCTCTTCATTCCCAAGAAGAAAGAAGCTTTGAATATTAACAGCAAAATGTTAGTGTTTCTAACAAAATCCTGAAAAAACTAACAATATTCTGAAGAATGATTCGAAATATTTCCCCAAAATATTTTTGTTTTTTTTTTAAATAATACTTTACATATTTGTACTGCTTAGTTTTCATCTTGCTTTATATATCTCAACTCCAAATTTTAGGACAGAGGTACATACGATCTCTTCATTCCTAAAACAATAGCATTAAAATGTAAGATATTTTAGTTTTTTTATACGGCTTTGTTTTTATTTGCTCCCTGAGAAAAATGGCATACGTATATCAATTTCTGCCTTAATTCACTTATTAAGAATTTCCATATATTTCCAAACAGCTAGCATTTCACCACTCAGACACATATACCCATATGAGACCTTACAACTATATAAGTTCTGTCTATACGCAGGAAAAATCATATTCAGGAGCTCAGCTAAATGCAGCATTAATTTTTTTTCTTAAACCAGGAACATTCTTCCATGTGATTCTTCTCTTAGTATAACACCTTTTACTCCATTATTTTTAAACCTGATACTGGATTATTATTCATATGGCATGAAATACTACATAGCTGTCACTATGTTTATTAGCGCTTAGTCAGGAAAATATTTGGATACTACTTTAAAAGTTTCCCTTTATTTATGTGGCTTTGCTGATCAAACTTTCTCTCAACTATTGAAAATACTGTTTTTCTGATTAAAAAAAGAGAGGGTGGTTGGTGAAAAGAAATCCACTCGATATGCAGTAACATTAGAAAGAATTTTCTGAATATTTATGTGGGTTACCAGAGATAGGAACCATCTCATTCTTATTCAAAAAGATTCTCAGAACAATAAAGATTAAAAAAAAAAAACACATTTTCCTCTCTTCCTCCCATCACCAACCTCCTGCATTCTTTACCTTTAAAAACTCTTTCTCTCTCTCTGTTTCAGAGCAGTGTTGAATATGAATTCTCAAATGAGTTCACCCCATCTCATTTTGAGTTAAAGGGGTAAATAAAGGTGTCAAAAAAGCAGAAGTTACAGAAGTTAGAGGTGAGGTAGGTATAGGGGATGGGTGAGAGGCATGTTACAATTTGTCAGTATATACTTATTAATTATTTTTTATTCAATAAGAGAAACATTGTCTCCTAGAATATACAAACCACAAGCACCAAATATCCTGATAAAAAATCTGATTACTTGGGGAGGGAGGTGGGAGGGGTGCTCAGGATGGAGAACACATGTAAGTCCATGGCTGATTCATGTCAATGTATGGCAAAAACCACTACAATATTGTAAAGTAATTAGCCTCCAACTAATAAAAATAAATGAAAAAAAATCTGATTACTGATAATTAGTCTTTCTATTTTAATTCTGGTTAGATAATTAGCCTTACTGATAAATAGTCTTAGTTCTGGGAATGTGAATAATACATAATCGAATACAGCAATATGTGATTATAACATCATGTTAAACTTTTCATGACAACTCAAAGACATATTGTTACTTATGTTTATTTGGATTAAATGTGAAGGTAATTTGAAAACCTAAGGATAAATAATAGAAGTTAATAACTATGACCCTAATAAAATGTCAATTCTTTGTGAAATATTTTTCCTATCCATTTACCAAAATGATATTTTGAAGGACCTCTTACAGGCTACAATTATCGAATTCTCCCTGCTCTCATCTCTAACTCTCAGCAAAATGAGGCCAAAGGTGTGTCTGTTTGACAAGCTAGAAGGGACTCAATAACCAAATTACTTTAAATATTTCTATTGTCATTAAGCACAGTGAATTATGTGTCAAAGCCAAGTTCACAGAAAACTACTTCTATGACTCATTAAACAAAGGCATTACAAATGGGTAACTGAAAACACATAAAATTAAGAATGAACACTGATGAAAGTGAACACAGATGGAAGAAGGTGATATGGACAATGAGCCGTGAGGACACTGATGTGAACAGATGAGACGCTCTTACTGTTTCAGCGCTCACCTAGGTCCTTCTTCTCTCTCAGAGGCTCAGACTTACTTTTCCCCTCAAGGGCTGCTTTCTTTGATGGCAGGGAAAGCGCTTCCTGAACTGTTTGACTTATTTTACTCACTTCTGTTTGGCCCAGGTTGTGAGCGCTACTGGGTAGTGAAGGTTTGTTAAGTTTGCTACCAAGCAAAGCATCTTTCTTAAAGGTTGGCTGGGAGGTGTCATGCATGCCTCCCCTGGAGTCTGTTAGTCCACCAGGTGTCTCATTCATCTCAGGCCACACAGCTGGAGACATTCCGCCCCCTACAATTGCCAGATAACAACAGAAACACTTTGAGCCAGGACGCAGTACAGATCGCTCTTAGAACAAAAGAGAAAAACATTAGCACCTCACACAGAACAAAAACAATCTTGGTTTAACGGAAATCACCTGAATTTGCAAGAAATATGAAAAGCGAACATTTCACATAACTAACACTAAGGAAACATTTCAACTTCTCTATATTTGGGAAAAAGAAGAAATGAGAACAAAAAACCAGAGACAGAACAAGAACCATTTGGATTTGCAGGACCCAAGTAAATATAAGAACAAGCACTTCTCAGACATTTCTTGAGAAATATAAGTTCCATTATTCAACAGAATGGGGGGTGAGGAGAGTGCACAAGAGACGAACAAAGATCTTGATTATGTAACAATTAGAGTTATGTACCTTATTGATATAGTAATGGTCTGTACCTCCCAATCTCAAAGAAACATGTTCACTATGTCCTTATAATACGAACATATTATAAGGAATGTTAAAAAGTAATACAGGGGAATTCCCTGGAGATCCAATGGTTAAGCCTCTGTGCTTCCACTGCAGGGGGCACTGGTTCCAACCCTGGTTGGGGAACTAAGATCCCACATGCCTTGTGACAAAAAAAAAAAAGTAATACAAGATGCTAACTGAAGACAATTGGTATTAAATAATCTTTCTCTTTACATATGTGCTACTATATCACAGATTTCATTTTTATTGTTTGAACTACCTGGGTCCCTTCCCCACCTTAAGATTGGGAGGCACATCATTATACATACATATAATTACTTTATTACTGGTTTTATTCTGTTGGTTACTTTGCCAGCAGAGATGAAACATATGATTAAGCAACCACGCATGTCTTGCACGAATTTTAGCAGAGTTTATAGAAGGCAGGTTAATGTGCTGTTACTGAAAACAAGCCAGGCTCTGCTGCAGAGGGAATGGATTTTAGGTATGAGATGATCTGGTTATGGGTGATACACCACCTCATGTCATTGGATGGCCCTCTGTATTCCCAGGATGAGCACCACGTTAAAATGGAGTTTCACACAATGGGAATATCTGAGGAAACTTGGGCTGATGAAGATGGAAAGGCTACAGAAGCACAGAATCTGGATAAGTGATGGAGATCTGTAAAAGAACAGCTGTGGAAGGTTAGAGTCACCTGGAATCAGAGACAATGACCATCTGAGGATGGGATCGTTGAGCCGTATTAGAAACTTGACATAGTCTCTGGAGAGGATGGTATATTTCATTGTAACTTAGAAAAATTCATTTCCCCCCATGTAAAGCTGTGCACGAAGAACTTACCAATGGCAGCTTTTACTTCGATTGCTTCTGAATCCTGTGAATATTCACTAAGTCCAGCTGCGTTAACTGCTCTGACCCGGAAAATATAACTCTGACCGGTCTTCAATCCGTGACAAGTAAATCTGAAAGGGAAGAAAATTTTTAAAAAGTTTCCCAGGAGGAAAATTAGGGAAGATGATTGTTATCTTAACAGAATGATCTGGCTTTATGAAAACCATTCTTTTTTTAAAAGGAAGAAAAGGATGTAGAGAGATCCAGATAACATACCTATATTAAACAAGAAGGCATCTCAGGCAATTTCCTAAATTCACTCTGTCAAACAATGAGGAGTCCTGGTTTTCCCCTGAATAAACACCCTACTTTTTTTGAACCTGTGTGTACTTATCAGTAAAATGGAAAAATAATGCCTACATAGTAACTCTTGTGTGAAGATTGACCATAAATTATATATAGTACAGGGGGAGGAATAAATTAGGAATTTGGGATTAATAGGCATACTACTATATATAAAATAGATCAATATCGTGGTCCTACTGAGTAGCAAAAGTAACTATATTGAATGTCCTGTAATAACCTATAATGGAAAAGAATTTGAAAAAAATATCTATATCTATATATAAACTGAATGACTTTGCTATATACATGAAATATTATAAATCAACTATACTTCAATAAAAAATTAAAAATTAATTTTAAAACGTATAATAGTACCCATTACAGGCCCTGGATATAAGAGGCACTGACTAAATAATAGGTGGTATTAATAACATTATTAATGATTATTTCAGGGTTATATTTATAGCTCTAAAGCATTGGCTGCCCCTTGTCACAGAGGCCTACTCGCTGCCTCCCTGCATGCCATGAGAGGTAAAATTACTTGAAAAATTACACTAGGATCTGAAAATTAGGTGAAAAATTGACTCCAGAATTGTCATGTACATTTTAAGGATTCAGTAATGAGGTGTGAATCCATGGGCAGTTTCACACATAAAACAACCTCACTTTTTAAATAGTTATCAGGGCTATAACAAAACCCTGTTTCATGAATCACAGTAACATTCTAATCCATCCTGAAGGACGGTAAGTAGAGGAAATTGCGGCCTGCTGGTGACTCTGCCACTCTCAGCAAGTTGAAATATTTAATACAGGCAGCCATAGTGTAAGCCGGCTCAGTTCCGTAAACATTCACTTCAGTGTCGCAGACACTGAGCCAGGCCCTGAGGGTACAAAGACGGGTAACAAATGGTGTCAGCCACTGAGCAGCTCCCCTCCATTTGTGGAAAGGCAGTCAAGGCCTACTTGCCATGAAAGTTTCTAAACAGTCCCTGGAAAATGCAGGAAACTCAGAGTAAATGCAAAATGCACAAACAGGTTAAATTAATCTCTTGCAAAACATACTGCCTTTTCCCATTAACTGGTTTGTCTTCATTCTCTCATGTTCTGCAAAGGAATGACTCCATCTATGGGGGTTCTTGGAATAGAAGTGGCCACCCCAGAAGCTGCCTAACAGACCTGCTTGACAATGGGGTGGGGGGATTCTCCCCTGAGATTGATCCTAAAGTAAAGGAGACTCGGAATTTGGGTGTAGGCCAGAATTCGTCATCAGTTTACAAAGCTGGTTGGCAAAATGTTCAAAAGCAAGAAGAAAAAAAATAAATAACCCTCCTTACATTAGAACTAGATACAGATCACTAAGTATTCTGAATGTCTTTATTTTGGTCTGTGTATATCTCCTCAGCACTGGGTTTACCATACTGATGTTCAAAATTCATACAATACCAATACTTTTTTCTCCTCATTTAAAATGCAGGCATAATTTATGACACTGGACAGCTACATGAACAAAAATCAAACTGGACTATTTTCTCACATCATACACAAAAATAATCTCAAAATGGATTAGACTTAAATGCAAGACCTGAAACCATGAAAGTCCTAGAAGAGAGCATAGGCCATATACCTTTTGACCCTGGTCTTACAAAGTTTTTTTGGATCTGTCTCCTCAGGCAAGGAAAGCAAAGGGAAAAGTAAACAAACGGGACTACAGCAAATGAGAAAGTTTTTGCACAGCAAAAGAAACTATCAACAAACCGAAAAGGCGACTTACTGAATGGAAGGAGATATGAGCAAATGATACATCTGATAAGGGGTTAATATCCAAAATATACAAACTCATAAAATTTAATATCAAACCCTCCCCAAACAACCCAATTTAAAAATGGGCGGAGAATCTGAATAGACATTTTCCCAAAGAAAGACATACAGATGGTCAATAGGTACATGAAAAGATGCTCAACATCAGAAACCATAAGGGAAATGCAAATCAAAACCAGAATGAGCTATCACCTCACACCTGTCAGGATGAATATTCTCAAAAAGACAAGAAACAAAAAGTCTTGGCAAGGATGTGGAGGAGAAGGAATGCTCGTTGGTGGGATGTAAATTGGCATATGGAAAAGAGTATGGAGGTTCCTCAAAATATTAAAAACAGAACTATCATATCATCTAGCAGTTCCACTTCTGGGTATTTTTCTGAAGAAAACAGAAACACTAATTTGAAAAGATACATGTGTCCCTATGTTCACTGCAGCATTATTGACAGTAGCCAAGATATAAAAGCAACCTAAGTTTCCACTGATAATGAATAGATAAAGAACATGTGGCATATACATACAGTGGAATATTACTCAACCATAAAAAGGAATGGAGGCTTGTCATTTACAACACTGATGAACCTAAAGGGTATTATGCTAAGTGAAATAAGTCAAACAGAGAAAGACAAATACTGTATGACTTCATTTCACTTCTATGTGGAATCTAAAAAACAAAACAAATAAACAAACAGAACAAAACAGAAACAGACTCTTAGATACAGAGAACAAACAGGTGGTTGCCAGAGGCGAATAGGGTTGGAGGTTGATGAAATAGGTGAAGAGGGTTAAGAGGTACAAACTTCCAGTTAAAAAATGAGTCATGGGAATGATATGTATAGCCTGGGGAATATAGTCAATAATACTGTAATAGCTTTGCAATGATGGCAGTGGGTGCTTAGACTTATTGTGGAGATCATTTGGTAATGTATAGAAATACTGAATCACTATGTTGTGCACCTAGAACTAACATAGTGTTGTAGATTACTTATACTTGAATTTTAAAAGATAATAAAATAAAACAAAATGTCTGGATAATTTATATTCACTAGGGTCTATTAGATCCTTGGAATCTAGTATCACAGCAGATATTAAAAGTGAACAGAAGGTTTCAAAGGACATACAGTATAAAGTGAAAGAATCAGAAAAGAGCTATGAAATGACCTCTTATCATAGCCGCCATTGTGGGTTTCTAAGTGTTCAATGTCACTAAGTAATCCTTTTTTCAAATGTATGGCCATAGACACATTCAATTTTGAATTCATTTGGATATTCAGAGCATAATGTTTTCAATAATCTCCCTGCGTTGGATGTTTGTGCTGCTGTCGGGCCCATGGCTGCATTCCTTCTCTGCAGCCCCTGTGACTCCAGCGTCAGAACCCCAGCCCACCTCCCGACATAGTGTGGTTACCTTGTGCCCTTCACAGGGTTGTTGTTGCAAGGCTCCCACTTGCCAGAGCCAACAATGCTTGACTCTATGTAGTACCCGACCAGCTCTTTAGCATCTTTGGGTTCCTCCCACGTAACAACCACTGATGTGTCTGTGTTTCTGCTTGGGATGATGTTGCTCGGAGGCTTGGGGATGTCTGAGAAAAGAAGAAAATGATAGTCAAGTTCAGGGTGGTTTTAAAACTTCATTCTTATCACATATGCAGAAACATGAACATGCATATATAAATATTATACTAGTAACCACGTCAAACACACAGTTCTTTATATTCATTAGAGCAGAAAATGTTTTAAATATTCTAGTTTGGGAGCATAGTGAGAAGCTAAACACCCATGGACATATCAATCCCCTCCAGGAAAAAAGTACACTAGCAATACTGTTGAAACTCCTGGAGAAAGTACTTTCATAATCACTCATAAAGTTTTTTTTTGGGGGGGGGGGTGCTTCCCTGGTAGCTCAGATGGTAAAGAATCTGCCTCAATGCAGGAGACCTGGGTTCAGTCCCTCGGTCAGGAAGATCCCCTGGAGAAGAAAATGGCAACCCACTCCAATATTCTTGCCTGGAGAATTCCATGGACAGAGGAGGTCCATGGGGTCGCAAAGAGTCGGACATGACTGAGCAACTAATACACACACATGAAGTTCTTTTTAACATATCAGTCAAGCACAGTCATCAGTTAAATTTATAATATGAAAAAACCTGTCACCATTTTTACTTTTGAATATATATGTATTTCAGTATGATTCTTGCCTTTAAATTTTCTCTCGAATTGAAGTTAAATAAGTTTACAGCAGCTCAAGCAAACTCTACACTTACCAAGCTTGTCGCCAACCACGGTCACTTCCGTTGCCTCTGACGGCTCACCAACTCCTGCCGAATTAGAACAGCGGACTCGGAAACGGTAGGATTTCCCCTCAGCCAAGTCGAACAGAGCAAAGCGGGGAGATTTCACAGGGAGCTCTGTGTTCACCCGCTGCCAGTTTTCTGTTCCCGCTTCACACTGCAGCCAGAACAGTGAGATCATTGAAAGCACAGAAAGAATAAACTGAAGAACTCTAATCCAGGCACCTTGAAGTTCATTTATCTGCTAACAAACTACTACCTGTTATGCAAGTTGGTCTGGAAAAGAGATTTGGAGGAAGTGGGGGATGAAACATTTCAAGTCCATAGGATTACCTCAATCAAATACAGCTGTATTGTTGGACAAATATGATGCCTTGATATTTCACTTCCTTTCTTAACTAAATAAGGCCATTGGTCTACTTACAAAAGTCCTTTATTTAGATGATAGTTTGGAGTCAGATGGGGTGTTCCACTCAGTCAGTGGTAAAGAATCTGCCTGCCAATGCAGTAGATGGGGTTTGATCCCTGGGTTGGGAAGATGCCCTGAAATAGGAAATGGCAACCCACTCCAGTATTGTTGCTGGAAAATTCCATGGACAGAGGAGCCTGGCGGGCTACAGTCCACAGGGTCGCGAAGAGTCAGACACAATTGAGCACAGCAGGACACACAAATTGGGGTTGGATGCTTTTTTAGGGTATGTAATTAAGTTTAATATGCTATGTTAGATACTTACATTTCCATTATATTGTTATGACCTGAGTTATTTTAATTGTGTTTTACTTAATGACTCATAACAACATGCAGGTCTGTGCTCACATATCACCTTCTTGATCATCACCACCCCATCACTGACCTGCAAAGGTTATTTGCTCCTTCCCCATCTCTCTCTATCCCTTACTTCCCCTGCCTTATTTTTCACTAAGAAACTTATCAACACTTGAAATTATACTATTTATTTGTCGTCTCCATTGTTGGAATGTAAATTCCAACGAAATGAGTTCAGGAAGATATCTTGTTCACTGCTATACCCCAGAGCCTGGAACTGTCATCTGGCACATAGTAGATAATCAATGATTTTTTTTTTCTGAATGAATTAATTTTTCTGAAATCTGAATGTATGAAGTTAATGAAAGATAAAGAAATTTTTTTTTCTTTTTTTGAATGTGGACAAAGCAGAAGTGACTTTGCTACAGAACGTCTGAATGGTTTCAAGAGATTGTTCCAGAAATCTAAACCTATAATAGACTGACCAGCTGTCAAGGATGATAACTTTAGGGGACAATAAGTTTTTTAGTACATCACTCAGCATAACCATCAATTACTTGAAATGAGAGGCAATATGGTATGATGAAAAGGACCCAGAGGCATTGATCCAGGTCCTTGCTTTGGTAACAGTGAGCTATGTGGTCCTGGGAAAGTTACATGAGTGTCAATGTCTGTAAAACAGGCAAATTTGATGAGGTGACCATTGACATCCCTTGCAGTGCCTTTTATGATAATGTGTCTGTTGTATGTGGGAGGGCAGAGAGAATAAATTCCCCTTTAAGTCACTGGGCTACCCACTGAGGAATATAATCCTCCCAGACTTATTGTTTAATTTATTACTTTGATTCATTTTTAGCATATATTATGTGATTATCGAAGTTTGTTTTAAGATTTTTTTTTTTTATGTGGACCATTTTTAAAGCCTTTATTGAATTTGTTACAACACTGCTTCTGTTTTATGTTTTGGTCTTCTGGCTGCGAGGCATGTGAGATCTTAGCGCCCCAACCAGGGATCGAACCCATACACCCTACCCTGGGAGGTGAAATCTCAACCACTGGACCACCAGGGAAGTCCCTATTATCCAAGCTTTTGAGAGAAAACTTAGGCATGGGAAGGTTGAAAAGCAGCAGTGTATAAAAGTTGGATATATGGACCTGAGCCAGACTGCTTAGGTTCAAATTCTAGCTCTGTCTCTTACTAGTTGTGTGATCGGGGTAAATTGTATATCCCATCTAGGCCTGTTTCCTCATCTACAAAGCAGATGTAATAAAACTAAAAGTATTTCCTTCAGCGGGTTCCTATAAGAATGAAGTGAGTTAACATATGTAGAGCTTAAAACAATGCCTGCATGTGTGTGCTCAGTTGCTCAGTCGTGTCTGCCTCTTTGTGACCCCATGGACTATAGCCCACCAGGGCTCCTCTGTCCATGGCATTTCCCAGCAAGAATACCAGAGTGGGTTGCTATTTCCTCCTCCAGGGGATCTTCCCGACCCAAGGATTGAACCAGTCCCCTGAGTCTCCTGCAATGGCAGGCATATTCTTTTACCACTGAGTCATTTGAAAAACAGTGCTTGGTCCTTGGTAAATGTCAGTTGTTTTCACTCCTTTGGTAGAAACAGAGCTACCCAGTCATACAATTCTTGTCTCTGACTTGACCAGACTTCTGATGGGGGAAATGAGAGAAAGCACTAAAAACGTAAGACTGAGGAAATAAGTCTGAGGAAAAATTTGGGGGCTGGAAAGAACACAGTAGTACGGAGGGGCTGAGAGCCATGAAACTTGATTTATCTAATCCCCCTCAACATTAACCATTTCAGGGCTCACAGACATAGCATAACCGCTTGTAAGCCCATCACCCTGACAGGCAAGTTCATGCCTGATGGGCGTGCAGATCTCAGGGGAAAAGCTCCCTGAAGAAGAGCGAGCACGGGGATAGCCAGAGAGGCAGCACTGCGGCAGGCCTGCACACCCTGCGGATGGGACTCGTCATGGGAAGGGAGCATGGGAACACTCCTCTTGTGAAAAGTCGACGGGATAGAAGTGATTCATCAGAAATAGTTTGAGGACTTCCCTGGTGGTCCTTATTCTGGCCTGAAAAATCCCATGAACAGAGGAGCCCGATGGGCTACAGTCAAAAGGGTCACGAAGAGTCAGACACAATGGAGAGACTAAGCACGGGTGGTCCAGCAGTTAAAAATCCACCTGCCAGTGCAGGAGACACGGGTTGATCGCTGGCCCCGGAAGACCCCACATGCCGCGCGGCAACTAAGCTGGTGGCCACAACTCCTGAAGCCTGTGTGCCTGGAGTCTGTGCTCCACAGCAAGAGAAGCCACTGCAATGAGAAGCCCATACACAACTGCAGAGTAGCCCCTACTCTCTGCGACTAGCAAAAGCCTGGGCCCAGCAAGAAAGACCCAAATAAATAAGTATTTTTTTTAAAAAATGAGAATTTGAGACTCGGCTCTGGACCATAGTCCGGCATTCATTTGGATGGTTTTTCTGTAAACGTGCCCCAGGTCTCTGCAGGTGTGCTGCCCCTCTGGCACAGCCTGGACCTTGAATGTTGGCAGGGCCTGTGCAGACCTTTTTATCCATGCTGCACTCATAAATGTCCCTTCTGGCCCACTGGTGGAAGAATACTCAAATTTTTAATCAGATTCATGTATTTAGGTCTGGAGAAGCTACAGACTTTCATGGAGAAATTTGAGTTTATGTGACCAGAGAAGATGCTCAACAGAAGCCAAAGTTGACTCATCTCAGAGAAAGGCCCCAGTAATAGGCTGTTACTGTATCATTATTATAAGAAAGATGGTAATTACTGCCACAGAGCTTATTCAGAACTATCTTTGTGTGGAGCCTTTCAAAACAATTCACTGGAGGAGTGTGTATTAAATACACCAGAAAGTGAATGTTTATCACTCTTGTCTTGTCCTCTATTAAAAAAGAGAGAGAGAGAGAAAAAAGTTTTTAATCAAGAATGATACTCAAGTTATATTTCATTTTAGGCTAATGTCTAGAAAATGTAAAAATTGACAAAACATAAAATTTAAGCATTATTTTGGTAAAATCAGACTTTCTTTGAAGATGTCCATATTTGCGAGTTGAAGAAATTACCCACTTATTTTTATTCACCTCTAGGGATAGGAAGGAAGTGAGGCATGCTCCCCAAAGCCATGAGCCAAATGTCCTCATGAATAAAAGTTATTAATAAAGGGAAACCACAGACCCTGTGTTTTTGGCTCCAATATAATTTTCTCAAGAGCTGCTGGTTAGAAATAATTAAAGGGACAGAAAGATAGTTGAATATAGATTTTATGTTGTTACCTAACTTGCAGGTATTTGCCTATACCTATAGTCTTTTGATGGACTTTCCCGTATTTCAGTGGTAAAAAGACTCTGCCTGCTAATGCAGCATATGTGAGTTCGATTCCTGGGTCAAGAAGATTCCCTGGAGAAGAAAATGGCAACCCACTCCAATATTTTTGCCTGAGAAATCTCATGGACAGAGGAGTCTGGCAGGCTATATATAATCCATGGGGTCTAAAAGAGTCAGACATGAGTGAGCAACTAAACCACAACAACAGAGCAAGGGAGATGGAAAAAGTGGTGAGAAAGCCCTGCAACACAGTGTTGCAGAGGCTATATACAGTTCCAGGAATGTTTCTCTTCTTAGAGAAGCTAAGAGTTGGGGTCTGTGGACCTCTTAGGAGTCCATGGGTGACCCTCATGGATCCATAAACCCCCTGAACTTTCAGGCAAAATTCTGGGAAACACATTTTTTTGTGGAAACAGGTAACAGTTTATAAGAGTTTTAAAAGTTCAGGACACAACAGAAACTTAATCTTTACTTCTTTTTTTTTTTTTTTTAATTGGTCTTGTTTGATCTCACAAGACCTCCAAAAATTGGCTGGTGAGGTAAAACTTCTTTCTTGGTTCTACTTCACTTAGTCTACACGGCAGCACCGGAGACTAAGCGCAAGCAGAAGCAAGAAAGAGCATGCTGCCTTTACTTCTTTAAAGAAATATTGAAGACATGCCAGAGGTAATGATGCTGCTCCTAGAGTCTCACCTTTTCTACAAAGTACAGGATGCCTTCATGGCCACGCTGGCGGGGGGGCTTCCAGCTCAGCACCACATAGCTCTGCGTGGCCTCAATGACAGAGAGGTCAGTGGGGGGCCCGGGAACAACACCCTCTGAAAAACAACAGGGAAGCATGAGGGACACGCACTCGGGAAAATGGAATTGTATTGTAAGACATACTGCATGTGAAGTAGTGTAATATTACTTGAAAGTAGGGTGTGATCAGATGTGTATTATACTGAAAAAATTCCAAGATATTATTCAATCAAAATAAATAATTATAGCTAATAAGATAATATAGATAAAATGAAATAAAAATATTCAAATCCAAAAGAAAAGAGAAAAAGAGGATAAAGGAATGGATAGAAAACAAATAGCAAGATGTTAGATTTAAATCCAATCATATCAATAATCACAATGATATGTAAATTGTTCAAATATCCCAATCAAAAGTGAACATTACTAGTTTACATTAAAGAACCAGACCCAATGATATGATGCCTACAAGAAATGTGATTTTAAATACAAAGACACAAAGGAAAAGGACAGAAATCATACGTCATGCTAACACTAATCAAAAGAAAGCTGGAATGGTCATGTTCATATCAGACAAAGCAGATTTCCAAGCAAAAATGCATTACCATGGATAAAAGGAGTCATTTTCTGATAATAAAGTCATAAGTCAGTGCATAAGAGGATATAATAATAAAACTGTTTATGCACCTAATAGTAGAGTCTCAAAATACATGAAACAAAACCTGATAAAACTACAAGAAGTATATAAATCCATCATTTAGTTGGAGAGAGTGAGTAGATAGAAACAAATGAAAAATAAAAGACTCAATAGAAATCACAGCAGATTTTTTTAAATAGAAATTGATAGTCTAATTTTAAATTCTACATGGAAATGCAAAGACTTAGAATAGTCAAAACAACTTTGGGAAAAAAATGATTAGAGGTCTTATACTACCTCTATTTCAAAACTATGAAGCTAAAACAAAAGAAAGAAAAACAAGAAGCTTATAAAAGCTACAGTGTTCAAGACAGTGTGGTACTGGTATAAAGAAAATGAAATTAACAAATGAAGATTCAGAAATAGATTCACAAATATGCAATCAGTTGACTTGGACAATAGTGCCAAGGCAATTCAATAAGAAAAGGATAATCTTTTCAACAGATATTGCTGAAATAATTGGATCACCATATGCAAAATAATAATAACTCCTAATCCACACAATATAGAAATAATTAATTTGAAATGTATCATAAATTAAAATATAATAGCATAAGAGCTGATGCTGTGACATTTCTAGAAAAAAAGAAAGAATATCTGAGTGAAATTGGATTTGGCAAAGATGTCAAATTGGATGCAAAAATGGCAAATTCACACATGAAGAGATGCTCAACATTACTTGGGAAGTGCAAATTAAGACCACTACGCACCTACTATGAAATACCACTATGGTATAAAACACCACTATACACTGACTAGAATGGTTATAATTAAGAAGACTGACCATACCAAGTATGGGACAGTGAGGAGCAGCTGGAACTCTCAACTACTGCTGATGGGAATGTAAAAGGTGCAATCATTTTGGGAAAGAGTTGGCAATTTCTTTAAAAATTAAACAGGCATTTATCAGATGACCTGTGCATTCAGACTCTAGGCATTTTTCCAAGAGAAATGAAAGTGTATATCCACAAAAACACATAACAGAGAGATTCATAGAGGCTTTCAAGTGTGAAGGTATAAATAAATAGGAATGAACTGACACATGTGTCAACATGGATAAATCTCAAAATAATTATGCTGAGTGAAGGCAATCAGACAAAAATGAGTAGGATTCCATTTATGTAAAATTGTGAACAACACAAACAACAGTGATAGAAAGCAGATCAGTGAGCCTAGAGATGAGGAAGAGGCATGAGGAAATTTAAGGGGTTGCAGATATGTTCATTATTTTGATTACAGTGGTGGTTTCACAGGTATTAATTTATCACATTGTACATTTTACAGACATGCAGTTTGGTCCATGTCATTATACCTTAATAAATCTTAAAAAAAAAAGTGATTCTCTAACAATATAAGTTAGCTCATGATCTCCAAATATTTCAGTATGTTCTTTCCAAAACATCTTAAATAATATACACGATACCCTCCACAATAGCTAAACCGCATAGCAGAACACTGGCAATACTATCAGGGGAAAATGTAGCTTTTACCTGTTGGTTCTTCCTCAGTGACAATGATCTGTCCAGTCCAGGGTGCTGAGGGGCGGCCTAACAGAGATAAGTGTAAAATATCAGAAACATTCACAAACACAGTTCAACTGCACTGAGAAACTGATAAATGGTCCAGATTCGTCACAAATGGGTTTGTTACTAGCTTACTTACGTACCTTCCTAATGAGTCTTACCAAGTGTGGGCATAGTATTTGGGGGAAGGGGACACAGCCCCGGTCATCAAACAACTCACAATCTGCAAAAGCCCAGAACTTGCCAGGACGGAGTCCATGTTTCTGGAACTACTCACACAAGCAAGGGGAACAGCCTGTGTCCAAATACTCTTCAACGTGTATCTCCTGAACCACATGGGTTCTCTCACCCTTCTAAAGAGATAGCATATACCTGGGAGAAACCTCTCTAGAATAATGCAAGCCTGGCTGTTTTGTATCTGTCATAATGAAGATGAAAGTGATGGCAGCGTTGTTGATCATGCAGTGAAGCTCAACCAAAAGGATATCTTTCCATTACTTTTAAAACTGTTGCTTACAAAAACAGAAAAAGAGACTCCAATGTATAGAACAGACTTGTGGACTCTGGGAGAAGGCGAGGGTGGGATGTTTCAAGAGAACAGCATCGAAACACGTATATTATCTAGGGTGAAACAGATCACCAGCCCAGGTTGGGTGCATGAGACAAGTGCTCGGGCCTGGTGCACTGGGAAGACCCAGAGGGATCGGGTGGAGAGGGAGGTGGGAGGGGGGACCGGGATGGGGAATACATGTAAATCCATGGCTAATTCATTTCAATGTATGACAAAAACCACTGCAATGATGTAAAGTAATTAGCCTCCAACTAATAAAAATAAATGAAAAAAAAAAAACCTGTTGCTTACAAAGGGAAGCATTTTCAATCCCAAGTTAAGAAAATGAGTGACTCAGGCAGTATAGAGTGACAGAGGAAATTCATTTCTGTGATTGCAGAAAGGCATCAGAGAGAATGGTTCAACTCTTGCTTTAAACGAGGTACTTTCCACCAGAGTGTGTACAAAAACAGGAAGGTGGAATGCAAGATAACTTATTTTCAATTCTGGCAAATCTTATTTTCATTGAAATTTATAAAGGAGGAGTAAATGAAAATATGAGATGGAATTAAGAAAGATGGAGGGAAGCTGGATGAAAAGTGAAAAATGAAAAAGCAAGTGAAAAGTGACTGGAGAGCAACTGAGGAGCCTGATCAGAGAAAGTCTCTGGAGAGAAGGTGGCATCATTTTACTAAATTTTTTATGATGGCACTGCATGTACTTAAGGTCAAGAAAAGCTATAAATGTGGTAAATGGCACAGACCAGTAGTCCTCAACTAGGGTGATTTTGTGCCCCCAGGGACATTTGGTAACATCTGAAGATAATTTTGATTGTCACGATGGGGGTGAGGTGGTGAGGGTGCAGATTTTACAGGCATCTAGTGGGTAGAGGCCAACGATGCTGCTAAACATCTCACAATGCACAGAACAGCCCCCACAACAAAGAGCTACCTGGCCTAAAATGTTATTAGAGCCAAGGTTGAGAAATCTGGCATAGGCTGAACTATGAACATCCAAAAATTCTTCACTGTCATTTTAAGGTCCCTATTGTTAAGGATGCTATATTGGTTCCCATGAAACAAAAGCAGATCATAATTTACATACCACTATTTCGACATCAAGACTTGGAGGCTAACTATATGAAAAGATTCTTTTTGACTGCCTAATATGGAAACTCAAGTACAGATCAGATATAATGTTGTATGTGCTTTTCCTTTGATATCAAAAGCTCACAGTGTTGAGATATTAATGCTCTAAGGGATAAATTCAAGTTTAAGAAAATTACCTTAAAATTTTAAGAAACTAAACCAGAAAGAAAAGTGTATTTGAAGTGTTCTAATAAAATGAATTAAATGCTCTTCAGGCTTCTGGTTTTCATATTGTCATTTCAAACACAATGCCTGGAACTCAGCTAAATAAGGCAAAGATTCTAAGTAAAATAAACCCCTTAGTGAATAGATAAATTAAAAAACAGAAAAAGGTTTTGTTTTTGTTTTCTTCCCCCTAGCATTTTTCTGATCAGTAAAGGATTTCTTATTCTCTTCTCCCTCTGGTGGACAGGGGAAGAATAACCTTGCAATGGGATCTACTGCAATCATTTTTAAAAGGTCATTCTGAAAAATGAGAAACACTTACTCTTCAGTCTAGCTTTCTCAGCTGGATCCAGAGCTGCCACGGGCTCGGAGACTCGAGAGGGCAGGCCTATCCCAACTTTGTTCACAGCTCGAACTCGGAATATGTAAGAACGGCCTTCGATCAACCCAGTGACTGGGAAACGAGCAAATTTCACAGGAATGTCATTGCACTGAGTCCAGGTGTCTGTGCCCACCTCACATCTAAGGGAGAGAGACAGTGATAGACAGGAATATGAGAGGAAGGATGGCTAAGTGGATGGCTTCAGGGCTGCAAACCCACCCCAGTGCTTCAGGGCTTCTCTCTGTAAAACATCCAGCTGGAGCAGACTGCAGCAGATACATAACTGCAGGCACTCAGCTCCACTCAATTGCAATGGATCTACTCTAACAGTTAGGAAAGAAACCTCAGAGCTTTCCTGAAGACATGTACATCCTTCCACCTCACTAAAAGCAGGCAGCTGAGGGGTCTCCTGTGCTAAGCAGAGGAGCTTTTGGGGGGGAAAAAAGAAGCAGGCAAGTATGCACAGTTTTTACAAAGCAGAAGGGGGAGGACCCCCAAAACATCCCCCCAGATAATGTCTTCAGTTCTACCACTAGTGACTTCTTTCTTTATCGTTCCTAGGCATTTTCTTTTAAAATGGAACTATGGTTGAGAAAGTTAACACCTTACAAGACATCTCCCTGTACTATAGTCTGGAAAGAGCTCACCAGTGGTCAGTACACGTGGTGTGGGTGGAACAGCGAGATGGGCACTGTATTTTTTTTCTTAGCAGATGAGACTGATGAGATGCAGGGAAATCTTTGGGCCTGGCAAGGGAAGGGTAAGTCCCTGGAACTTCTGATTTCTTATTGGGTGCCTTTACAGCAGCCGATGCCTGGAGAGAGAGGGGTAGAGAGCCGATGCCCAGGAGAAAAAGATGACAGTCCATATCATGCTTTCGGCCTGATCAATAGAGTCTGAGGGACCCCATGTGTGACCTTAGAATGCAGCAGTAAGTAACTCACTATTTTTTATGAGCAGAGCACTGCACTTTGAGCTTTTATCACTTCCCCAACTCGGCTCTCTGTCCAAAGGGTATAATTTCCCAAAGGATTCTCATGGAGGAGGGGGGTGCCAATGGCAGTGCAAAGGCAGTTGGAGTTGGGGGGGTGTTATTTTCACTTCTTTACCATCACTCTTCCATTCTTTAGATAAATGGACATTTTCTTTGATCTTACATGAAATGGTATCAAATAAGGCTTCAGGCTATGCCTTCCACTCCCTCCTCCTGAATTTTCCTTTGTAGGAATTCTGGAGCGGCTGTGAACTGGCCAGGGGAGAGAGCTAGAAGGCTAGGACAAGCAGCAGGTCTCCCCTGCCTCCAGGAAACTCCATCTTCCCCTGAGCAGATACTGTCTCGGTGACCAGTGGTCCTGGAACTCGCTTCCAAACTCTCACATGAGCAGAAAGGAAGGTGGGGAGCAGCTGCTCTGGAGATCTCCATAGCAAGAACACAAACTTAGCATTTCGTCACTAGGACACAGCCATGGTTCACTAGACACAGCTACTTGCTTCCTATCTGTAATAATGGCACCTGCCTCTCAAAGAGTGGCTATGGGTTAATGGGACATGCACGTGAAGTGTTTAGAAGAGTGCCATGCGCACAGCAAATGCTTAATAAATATTCACTGCATTATGGTTATTTTCATTATGACTAAAGCAAGAAGAAAACAAGATGTACTGATTGTCCCTGGTCTTTCAATGATCAAAGTCTGAAAATTCTTTGTAAATCTACCAAAGACAATAATGCAGAAACTGTAAGGATGAAAAAGAACCTACCTAAAATTTCACAAGTCATCATTACTCAATGATGAAATAATGTGGAAGCATCTAGTATAGGTTAAATAGTGTATAGCTTAGTATAAACATTTCTCTGGTTGGTTCTGAGCCCAGTAGGCATATACTCACTTATTTCTGTAAATATTAAGTTTAATCCAGCTTGGCACAAACCTGTTATAGTGGCACAGATTATCTGTCCCTAGTGGTTTTCACAGTCAGACTTACTCAAAAATGGAAGAGAATTAGAGCAACTATTTGAAAAGAAACTAAATCAGACAATCATGGTTTTAGGTCAATAATCTAAATTTGTTGTCTACATTGGCCAAGCTCACTGGTTAACTCATGTGTGGTGGTTTAGTCGCTAACTCATGTCCAACTCTTTGTGACCCCATGGACTGTAGCCTGCCAGGATCCTCTGTCTATGGGATTCTCCAGGCAAGAATACTGGAGTGGGGTGCCATTTCCTTCTCCAAATTCATGTGTAAGCCCCATTTACTGTAAATACAAAGCCTCTAAATTTTGGAGAATGTAAATAGTAACAATTTGTAGATAAATCATAGTTTAGTACTATTGATATTTATTTCTCTGTCAAGCTTGATTCTTGTGATGTAAATGAAATTTTGTTAGTGTTCCTAGAGTATTATTATTTAATATTCTTAAATTACTGACATATTAGGAACATGGACATTATGTGTGTTGAACACCAGCTATTTCATTTCTGAAGTGGCCTCTATCAAGTGTACAGATTCATAATATTCTTGCCAAATTAGCGACTTGGGCTGGTAGCAGAATTGAAGAATTATCTTTGAAATTGAGGTAAGCAGGTAGTTAAGTATATATTCATACCAATCTGTTTGTAGACAGAGACAGAGAGAAAAAGAGGGAGACAAGACAGTAAAGAAAACACTTCACCAAGAAACGGCGGGAGAGGGTTGTCCAGGTTGTGCAGTGGTAAAGAATCCGCCTGCCATTGCAGGGGACACAGGTTCGATCCCTGATCTGGGAGGGTTCCACATGCTACAGAGCAAATAAGCCCATGCCCCACAACTATTAAGCCTGTGCTCTAGAGCCCGGGAACTGGAACCACTGAAGCCTGCATGCCCTAGAGCCTATGCTCCACAAGAGAAGCCACAGCAATGAGAAGCCTACGCACCTCAAGTAGAGAGTAGCCCCTGCTTGCCACAACTAGAGAAAAGCCCACAGAGCAATGAAGACCTGGCGCAATCAAAAAATAAATAAATAAAATAAAAACTAAAATCAGCATATAAAAAAAAAAAAAGAGCAAAAGAAATGGTGGGAAAAACCAAGCAGGCATCTCTATAGTCAATCACTCTAACTGAAGTCATACTAGGTACTAACTTATCAATAAAATATCCCAGAATCGGACTCCCTCCATCCACAGCCGGCTGCTTCCAGGTGATGATGATGTAATCCTTGTTGGCATCCAAGCACACCACGTCCAGGGGAGAAGCGGGGGCTCCTTCAATCTCTGCATCAGCATCTGGGGGGATACAGAAGGACCCGTGAACCCTCTCAGATGCATTCTGTCAGCCCCCAAAGCCAAGGTCATAGTGCAGACCTTTCTTACCATATCGCTGCAGTCGCTACACTGTTGGCCAAGTAGTTTATTATTGTTGTCATTGTTCAGTTGCTAAGTTCTGTCCAAATCTTTTGCGACCCCACAGACTATAGCCCACCAGGATTTTCTATCCATGGGATTCCCCAGGCAAGAATACTGGAGTAGGTTGCCATTTCCTCCTTCCTGACCCAGGGATGGAACCCATGTCTCCTGCTTCGCAGGCAGATTCTCTACTACTGAGCCACCAGGGAACTCCATTCGGCCCCAGTAGAGCAATCATCAATTTTATAATTTGCTTACCAAAATAACAATGTGTGCTTTTCACCATCAGTGCAAGGAACATTATGTCAGAAAGGGCTCTGAAAAGGACCCATGACCTTGGCCTCATGGCCCTAGCCTGCCCAAAATATTCTAAAAGAAAATAACTATGGAGACATCAGAGACTGCTCTCAAAAAAGTCTAATGTAAATTATGCCAGGATGTCTGTTCTTAAGATAATTATTGTGCAGCGTTACTCAGAAACTATAAATGGCTCCAAGGGGGAGCAAACGGCCGTCACGTTCTGGATCCAGAAGAGAAGAACCAAGAAGTTTTGCCCATCCCTATGCTGGGACTACCACTTTGGAAGAGAAACAAAAACATTCATTTTAATTAAATGTTTGTTCCCAAACTGAAGATACTTGCGAAAGGAACTCTGATGCAATACCCACATCTGAGCTTAGTTTATCTGAGTTTAGCAAAAGTCCAGGACTATACAACAAACAGTTCATTGACTGCCCATGAAACAGGATCTGCTGACTGTGGGTCCCCTCAGCAGTGTGTGTACAGATAAATTAGTGACTTGGGGGTGTTTTTAGGTGGAAAGGAAGGGGAATGAAAATAACCATTTAATAGCCTTTTAAGTGAGAAGGATTAAGATAAAAGGCAGAATCCCTGGGGGAGGAGATCCACAGTTGCGAATTCCTACTGACATCCCGTCAGCACTTTAATAGCTGGAATTAGTAGGAGAGGAGGCTGAGACTTGCAGGAGCCACTCACCCAGGGAAAGCACTCTTGTTGATCAAATAAGAAACACTTTCTTTTCCAATGAGCTACACTTATGTAACTCTTCTAAGTCACTGAAATATTTGCTAAGAAGGCTGAGATGTTTGTTTGTATGCTTCTGAATGAATAGGTATGTGTTATCTGTGAAGGGCTCAAATCATTTTGGTTTTGAACAATGTTTCTTGCTTCATGAATTTGTGTGAACTCATGAACCTGCAGGGTAATATGTCCTGTGTAAGTGCTATAGGAGAATCTAACTAAATCATCGTGCCGGAAACACAGTGCAGAATCCCTGCATGCCACACGATGGCAAATGGGCATTTGGGGAGCACAGGGGAGAAACGTCTTTCCTTCCAGGCTTTCAGAGCACTGGATGGAGGGGAGAAGGTCAGCTGATGGTAAAGGTGGAGCTGAGCTGTGTGCATGCTCAGTCACTCAGTCATGTCTGACTCTTTGCGACCTCATGGACTGTATGGAGCCCTCCAGGCTCCTCTGTTCATGGCATTTTTCAGACAAGAATATTGGAGTGGGTTGTCATATCCTCCTCCAAGGGATCTTCCCGACCTAGGGATTGAAACTGCGTCTCTTGAGTCACCTGGCCTTGGCAGGTGGATTCTTTACCACTAAGCCACCTGGGAAGTCCTGGAGTAGAACTAGCAGGAGGTAGAAATGCTGACCTTAACCAGGCCTAAGATTTGCTCAGCTGCAATGAAGGCAGCTGGCAACCTCTAAGCATGCCCTTTTTTTTTTTTAGAAAAGAAAAAGGCCCATAGTGTAACAACTGGTAAACTTGGTGCTGATAGGTAAATTCATCGTGTGAAACAGAGCCTGGCAGACAGTAAGCATTTAGGGAGCCATTTCTCAGCATTTCTATAAAATTGCTTGGAATATGCCATTTGTTGTGTGGACTTGAAAATCTTTCAAACACGTATTCTGTATAGCAGCTGCTGGAAGTCAGATCTGAAACTGTGTTATGTAGCTTCACACTTGTGCTCTCGCCTTTGTCAGCTGCTGCAGGGCGCCTGGCCCACGGCACCCATCTGGTCAACGTCAGTTCTCTTCTTAGCCTCTGCCCTTCCTTCTCCCAGTGCTCCAAATAGTCAAACTTTTTGTAGCTTTGATTGATTAGACCAAAGATTAGTCTGTTCCTTTTTTATATTTTGATCTCTCACACAGGCTATTTAATAACTTTTTTCAAAATCTAAGTAATTCTGTTGTTTATCTTTATTATAAAAATAGTGCATGCTTATAAAATATATGATAATAAAAATACATGTTAAAATCCCTCTTAATTCCATAACTCAGAGATTACTACTATTAATACATTGGCCTAAACTTTTCTGGATTTTTTTCTATATTTATAAACTCAAAAGTGCTTGTTTTTTATAATCTAAATCAACTACATTTCAATTTTTTTAAGTGATTGTTTTTTAAATAAAAGTGGGATTGGACTATATAGTTTCATGTAAACTGTTTTTTAAAATATATTTTCGTATTAATTAGCATAAGTATACATCATTAAGGGCTTCCCAGGTGGCACTAGTGGTAAAGAACTCATCTGCCAATGCAGGAGACATAAGAGCCATGGGTTCGATCCCTGAGTTGGAAAGATCCCCTGGAGAAGGGTATGGCAACCCACTCCAGTATTCTCTCCTGGAGAATCCCATGAATAAAAGAGCCTAGAGGGCTGCAGTCCATAGGGCTGCAAAGGGTCAGACATGACTGAAGTGACTTAGCACGCACACATACACCATTAGCTTTCATTGTTGTACAGTATTTCCATTGTTTTTATGGACTATTTATTGTACATTATTTTCAACTCCAATTGGTGGATACCTAGATTCCTTCCAGACTTTCCCCAAAACAAACATTCCTTTCTCAGTTTTGTCCACTAAAATTCTTAGAACTAGAATTGTTGAAAGTGCACACTGTTGATATATAGTAACAAAACACCCTGAGAAAAGATGAACCAATTTACACTCACCAACAACATGTAGGAGTGTTCATCCATCCATTCCTTCATCCTAATGGATTCTAAAAACCTTGTAAATCTTTTGAATGTGATAGATCAATTTTATTGCTTTGATTATAGCAAAAACTTTTTCATCCATTTATCTGTCAATTGTAATTCTTTTTTCATTACATTTATATACCATCCTTCATCACTTTATCATCTTTCTCTGCTCCCCCCACCATGTACGTGTGTAGGGGTGGGGAGAATATATAAAAGTCTAGAAGAATATGTATTAAAATGATAATTTTAATGATATCTCTGGATGGTAGACTTATGATGGCTTTTCTTTTGTCCTTTTTTGCTTATTTACATTATCTATTTTTTCAGAAAGAACATATAGTATCTATGTAATAAAACCCTGGCCAAAAGTGTACATCTCTGGAATGTGTTTCTGCTGACATATGGTGCTTTCTGCACTGATCATTCTGGTTCAGAAGATATTTCCTAAGCAACAAAATACCAGAGCTCTAAAAAAAAATACATGGAAATGGCTTCATGTAGCTCAAAGTTTAAAAAAAACAAAAACGTAAAATGTCGCTTAAAACACTCTGGCAGTTTCTAAAAAAATCAAACACAAATTTAACATACGACCCAGCAATTCCAGTGGTAGCTATCTAACCAAGAGAAATGAAAGCCCAGGTCAATGACTATGAATAGAAATCTTCACAACGGCATTATTCAGAGTAGTCAGAGAGCAGAAACAATCCAATTGTCTATCAACTGGTGAATAGACACACAAAATGAAGCATGTCTAGTCAGCAATAAAAAGAAGTACACTACCATCATAAAGAACCTCAAAACATATGCTCAATGAAAAAAAAGACAAAAGTGAAAGATCACATATTCAGAAATGTTTAGAAAAGAAAGTCTATAGTGACAGGGAGTAGATTAGTGGCTGCTTGGGGGCTAGACTGGGAATGAGAGTGGGGAAGGGACACAAGAAATATCTCGGGTGGGGCGGGGTGTGATGGGAATGTTCTAAAGCTGGATTGTAGATGGGGGGCTGGTGGTGCACAGGTCTATAAATATTCCAAAAAGCACTGTCCACTTAGCATGGTTGACTCTTATGGTGTGTAATTACATCTCAACAAAGATTTTTTTAAAAGAATCCAAAATATAGCACTTAAAATACTTACAAGGGAAATGGTCTTCTAAAAGTTGAATTCACAATTTGATTTCTGAGACTCATCTTTGCAATTTCCTCTTTCCATGAATCTTCTCAATTCTCTCAACATCTGATACATTTTAGAATCTTCCCTTATTTTGTGGAATGAAGACCAGCTTAATGATAAACTTCAATCCTTCCACCTGTCCGCGGTTAGTAATGTGAAATTTGGTCTCAACCTGCAAGGGACCATGACCCTGGCATGGCCACTGAGAAATGTTGTTGAGGAGACCCTGGACTGTGTCTGAGCTCCCAGGAAAAGAGCACAGAGGGAATCCTCAAGGCATACATAACTCAGTGCTTTCTGAGTCACCAGAGAAGACTCTAATTCAGGTAAGACACTTGAGAGCAGAGGCAAAGACTCTGTTTGCTTATTCAGTTCTCATCTGGCCAGGACTATCAAGGTGGTTAAATAAATACACTTGCTGATAACTTCCAATGTGTCCATTTTCACTGCAATTGACCCAGAGGGCTACCCCCTTCTTCCCCTTGCAAGATCTGATTTTTCCTAAAATGTCCGATTTTCAGTTGGTAGAGATATTCATGTATCTTTATCAGTTGCTGATCTGAGGCAGAATCCAATGATCATTCATTACTGCTCAGTACTGCTGTGGTGTAGACTGCTGACCGTCCCTAGTGTCCAGTCCTCCTGTTGCCTTTTAGTACCGGACCCTTGAGCTTCCACAGGTAACATGCTGTCCAGCTAGAACTTCATCACCCCAGCTCCCCGACACACATGGAGGTGTGTTCACCAAGAAGAAGTGCTGTGTGCGTCTCTGCATCTCCCCTCCTGCAGGCTGGCCTGGGAGCACAGGGCCAGCCGAGCAGCAACATAGATGGGACCCAGGACTCTGAACGAGTGCTTTGAGCAGGACCATCTGGACCACTCTTCTACACTGATGGACACAGGACAGAAATAAACTTTTTGTTTTTAAGTTCCGTTTCAGCAGCTTAGCCTATTCCCTAGCTAAAATCCTGGGTTAGCCACCAGAAGACCTGCATCTTAGTACCACTTCTGTTTCTAAACAACTGCGAGGTTTCTGCATGCATGCTAAGTTGCTTCAGTCATGTCTGACTCTTTGCAACCCCACGGACTGTAGCCCACCAGGCTCCTCTGTCCATGGGATTCTCCAGGCAAGAGTACTGGAGTGGGTTGCCATTCCCTTCTTCAGGGGATCTTCCTGACCCAGGGATCGAATCTGCGTCTCCTGCATTGGCAGGCAGGTTCTTTACCATTAGTGCCACTTGGGAAGCCCGTGAGGCTTTTGGGAAATCAGTTTACTTTACTGAGCTTTAGTTTCTGCATCTTAAAACTAAGCGGAATCCTAACATTTTGTGAACCTTAGACTCCTTTGGAAACTGGCCACAGGACTGGAAAACGTCATCTCACTCACTAGCAAAGTAATGCTCAAAATTCTCCAAGCCAGTCTTCAACAATACATGAACTGTGAACTTCCAGATGTTCAATCTGGACTTAGAAAAGGCAGAGGAGCCAGAGATCAAATTGCCAACATCCGTTGGATCATCGAAAAAGCAAGAGAGTTCCACAAAAACATCTATTTCTGCTTTATTGATTATGCCAAAGCCTTTGACTGTGTGGATCACAATAAACTGTGGAAAATTCTGAAAGAGATGGGAATACCAGACCACCTGACCTGCCTCTTGAGAAACCTGTATGCAGGTCAGGAAGCAACAGTTAGAACTGGACATGGAACAACAGACTGGTTCCAAATAGGAAAAGGAGTACGTCAAGGCTGTATATTGTCACCCTGCTTATTTAACTTATATGCAGAGTACATCATGAGAAATGCTGGGCTGGATGAAGCACAAGCTGGAATCAAGATTGCTGGGAGAAATGTCAATAACCTCAGATATGCAGATGACACCACCCGTATGACAGAAAGTGAAGAAGAACTAAAGAGCCTCTTGATGAAAGTGAAAGAGAAGAGTGTAAAAGGTGGCTTAAAGCTCAACATTCAGAAAACAAAGATCATGGCATCCAGTCCCATAACTTCATGGCAAATAGATGGAGAAACAGTGGAAACAGTGGCAGAATTTATTTTCTTGGGCTCCAAAATCACTGCAGATGGTGACTGCAGCCATGAAATTAAAAGACACTTACTCCTTGGGAGAAAAGTTATGACCAACCTAGACAGCATATTAAAAAGCAGAGACATTACTTTGCCAACAAAGGTCTATCCAGTCAAAGCCATGGTTTTTCTAATAGTCATGTATGGATGTGAGGGTTGGACTATAAAGAAAGCTGAGTGCTGAAGAATTGATGCTTTTGAACTGTGGTGTTGGAGAAGACTCTTGAGAGTCTCTTGGACTGCAAGGAGATCCAACCAGTCCATCCTAAAGGAAATCAGTCCTGAATGTTCATTGGAAGGACTGATGTTGAAGCTGAAACTCTGATACTTTGGCCACCTGATGTGAAGAGCTGACTCACTGGAAAAGACCCTGATGCTGGGAAAGATTGAAGGTGAGAGGAGAAGGGGACAACAGAGGATGAGATGGTTGGATGGCATCACCGACTCAATGGACATGAGTTTGAGTAAACTCCGGGAGTTGGTGATGGATAGGGAGGCCTGGGGTGCTGCAGTCCATGGGGTTGCAAAGAATCAGACATGACTGAGCGACTAAACTGAACTGAGACTCCTTTGGAAAACTGGTAAAGAAAGAATAAAGATCCCTTCCTCAGAATAATGCTTTTAAATGATAAAATAAATACATGAGCTTATCAAAGAAACCAGTTATACTGAAGTACAGTTTTTATCACAGACCCCTCTGGAGTCTGTGGATCCCAGTTAAGGACACCTGGATGGCCTCTAAAGTCCCACCGTAATCAAAATGCCTAGATGTTCATGATTCCATTTAGTGTAAAATGGAATTTATTTTTTATCCATTTAGATAAAAAATTAGCAATTTTGTTGCTATAAATCAATATAAACCATATTGTTTATATATTTATTCTCTGTGAATTGTGATGCTTTCAAAACAAACCTTTCTGGTTGGGGAGAGATCACCCATTTTTTGGGGCTAGCCAACTCTAACTTATCCAGAGCTGACCTCCTTCAACCAGCCATGTACCCCAGGAGGAAATATTCTTCTGACTTAACCATCTCAGCACCAGGCACCAGACAACTAGGCACAACCACTATAGCTTAGGGGCCACTGAAACTGCTCACACTAGCCGATCCTGAATTGTGTATCCCATCCCCCCTTGCCTTTTCCACAGGAAATCCAGTAAAGACTGTGGTCCGAGCTCTCCCCTCTGACCCTCCTGCCTCCTGACAAAGCAGCGTGGCTGCCTCCCCACATGGCCTGGTGTGGTTCTCCAGGACCTGTGAGTGTGATATACTCTATTTTCCTGAGCCCCTTCTCTGTCTACTCATGTGACTATCAATCAAGTCACAGAAAAGAACACAGAGCACTTGAGGCTAGGACATGTGCATGGTCTTCAAAGTGCGCTCAGATCTCATGCATCGAGAACATTTCCACTTGTACATACCCTACCCGTTCAAGACACCACTGAGAAAAGAAAGACTCCTAAAATCAACAATTATAGCTTATCTTCGAGATTCAGTGGTAGCATCTTGCTTCCTAGTTCATAAAACTAAGAGAAGGCCTGGAATGAAATAACAAATTTGCTCTCCAAAACAGATCAAGAGTGAATCCCCATTGCTATTTTATTGTTCCTTCTTTAAACCAAGATGACTCTTCGTTCACACCATTAGGATGCAGCCTCTCAAACCTCTACAGAGGACTGAGCTGGTGGCTCATTGAAGAAGAGGAAAGTACTGACACTAGTGACGGCAGCACAGTCTGGAAACTGGTCACCTTCAGGTTGGTGCTTTTAGGGTTAACCTTTTCACATCCATTCTAATTTTACTAGATGCTAACATCCCTGTGCTACATCATCTGAGAGAAGTTTTAAATTTTTTTGGCCATACCATGTGGCTTGCAGGATCATAGCTCTCAGACCAAGGACTGAACCTTGGCACCCCAGCAGTGGAAGCACTGAGTCCTGAACACTGGACCCTGGGAAGTCCCAGGAGGAATTTTCAAACAGCTCTTTCATCGTTACCCAAAATATGTTTGGATAGATTGATACAGACTCAGTGTTTTAAACATTCTCAGATGCTCTGCTTTCTGCCAGGTCTTACCTCGAACAAAGACGTAAGCACTGTACTGTTCATAATATTCTCCCATTCGAGCACGAACTGTGTAGAGACCTTCGTCTTCCTTGTTGAGATGAGAAAATGTTAGTGTTGCCCGATCTCCACTCCAATGTGTTTGCACCCATTTTGATGGAGAAACAGGTGCCCCTGGGTGGAAAAATGTAAACAAATTTGCTGACTTCTTTCTCCATTACTATCTTCTTCCTCCCTCCCCCCAACTCACTCCTCTCTCCATCTCTCTCTCTTTCTTTATTCCTCTTCTTCTATATTGAAAGCTATCTGACTATTAGAGGAAGTCTGTAAGACTTTGAGTCATTGTGCCATATTTATATGGGTTAAAACGCTAGACCAGAAATGAGGGAACCACAGCCAGATATATCATCTGGAAGGCCCAGTGCAAAATGAAATTGCAAGGCTCTTGGCTCAAAAAGCAGAAGAAAAAAATACAGTTAAGGTACTAAAATATAAAACTTTTTCCTCTAAAAATAGTTTATTATTTATAAAACATAATAGGATAATACAAATTGCAAAAAAATAATTATTTTAATGCCATAATTCTTACATACAAACTATACTTTATTTTGTGATATGTTGATCGATAATAAGAATTTTTTACTTATTTTTTTGCAACCTCAGTTATTAGGCGATCTAATTCATACTTTTACCAACTTCATTTTAAATTAATAAAATTGAAAGTAATATCATTCAGTCTTTGCAAATGCAAAGTCACAAATAAGTTTTGATTCCTTTTATTTTGAGAAAGATCTTTCCACTGATGCAACTATTAATGCTGCTGCTAAGAGTGCTATAGAGTTATAGTATTATACAGTTTTATACTATATATAATTATAAAGTTATGGTTATAAAATTAACAGTAGGTTAATCCTCTGATAAGCTATTTTAAAATATAAATTTTTGTACTCTAGAGCTGACAATTCTTGAGGAACAATTTTTTCTAAAAAGATTTGACTCCTTATACAAATAGTTTCATGTAAATCTAAATTCAATTTTAAATGTATATTTAAATAATTGCATTTTAATGCTTTCTCTTACATGTCCTGTAACTTGTGATCATACAGAAAAAGAAAATGGCTTCATGATTTGTATATAATTTAAATGTCTATTTATACATTTTCTCACTGTAACTTCGATTATGAGGAAAATTACTTTAAAAATATCTTTCTTGTTAATAACTGCTTCATCCAAAGTTTTGTATGGAAATAGTGCTCATTTTCACTGAATGTGGCAATCTTTAAATTTAATTTTTATTTCCAAGCCCGTGAATATTTGCTTTGCAATGTTGTGGCAGTTTCCATAAACAGAGAGTCCTAACTCAGAAGAATTCTAACTGCCTTATGTGCCTTACTGCAATGTCTATATACATGCTTTTATTTTGTAATGTTTTATAGACAAAGGTGTGATTGTTGGCAGTTCCTGTCACGGTGCTCAGGCCAGAAAGTTCATGTTTGTGCAGATCTCACAAAGACGGGTCCTGGAGATGGACAGGGGATCTGGGCTCCCACTGGGGGCTCCCAGGCTGCATCTGGTGGGGCCTCTCCTCTCCTCTAGGGCCACGTCCAGCAGCACTGCTGCCGCCACCACTGCAGCTACTACTGGCTTCACTCCGGACGCAGGTTCTGGTCCTAGTCATCACTTCACGATGGCCCAGCCTGCCCGGTGCCCACACGGACACTGAGGTTTAGGCCAGCTGCATGGTGAGCATGCTGACTACCACCCACAGTGCCTGGGAACCAATAGGACTTCACTGGATTTCACTTTATCTTACCAAATAAAATTAACTTACAAAATGAACATATATCCAACTTGCAAAATGAAAACACATTTTTTGTAATCCTTTCCCTGTAGTACACGGTGATAAGAAATAATGTTATAAATATGTTATAAAAGCTCTGCTACTCTAAAATACGTATAAAAACTTTTGTAACACCTGGTAGGTTATGCCCTCTACTATCCAGTTTCTGCCAGTTCTGGTAAACAGAACTGCAATCTATAGACATTCATGGTTTGGGACCAAGTCCGGTCTGCGACCTTCTGCGAATATGAGCCTCAGTGAGAATTCATCATTAAGGCTTACCATTTCGGTACCACTGGATCTCCGGCTGGAAATGTTTAATTTCAGGGGTGATAACTACACGGCAGCCCAGACTCATTGTCTCGCCTTCTCTCCCAAAAGACACTTCAAACTTGTCATCAAAGTGAATATCAAACCTAGACGCATAACCGTAAGGGGTCACGGCAACTGGGCACAACAGAAACAAACATCAGTAATTTATTTTTTCTCATCAAAGAGACATAAGCATTTTAATGAGCACAGGCCAAAAGCAATCACAACAAACCTATCAAATGATTTGTAAATCATAGTTTCAAATTTTCCAGCTATTATTGTATCTCAATATAAATGAAATGACAAGAGAAGGACTTGATTTGGGATGTGTTCCTCCTCACTCCCACCCAGCACTCCGTCTCATGCATGGGATTGATACCAATGATTGCAACTAGGAATATTAAAATTAGGAGCCATTCCATGAAGTATAGGTGACTTCCCTGGTGGCTGAGATGGTAAAGCGTCTGCTTACAATGTGGGAGACCCAGGTTCAACCCCTGGGTCAGGAAGATCTTCTGGAGAAGGAAATGGCAATCCACTCCAGTACTCTTGCCTGGAAAATCCCATGGATGGAGGAGACTGGTAGGCTACAGTCCATGGGGTTGCAAAGAGTCAGACATGACTGAGCGACTTAACTATATATACCATGAAGTATGGAGAGACATCAATCTGATCAGTTAGGTGAAAAACTGACCCATGAGTAAGTATTTCCATAACCATTTTCAAAATGACCACTTATTTTTTAATGTTTGGAAAATAAGAATTTGGGGCTTGACTACCATTTCCAGTCTGAACAGAGTTATCATCTAATTACTGAAGAACGATAAGGGTTTTACTTTTATTGCTTCCCATGAAAAGAAGTTCTGATGCAGATGACATGATCGAAGTTCACAAATTTATAAATTACTATGGATCAGAATACTAATAATTTGTTATTAAACCACACTTAGACCTCATTTTACATTGCATTTTGTAAATCAGTGTATATATTTATTCATTCATCATCAAATACTACTCTGTATCAGGTGCTGGGGTCCAAAGATAAAAGGTCCAGCCTAGCCTTCAAGTGGCTCATGGGTCAGTGGGAGCAAACAGTTAACAATTAGTGTCCAGTGAGTAGATATCCTTACAGAGGTGTTATAGCCTCACCCGGACACATAACCTAAGTAGGTGGGGGCTGAGGTAAAGTGGGGGGCCGACAGAGACTTTTTAAGGAGATGATGCTACACTGGATATATAAGGATGAGTAAGACTGCCCTGATACAGTCCAGACTCTATGTATGTGTGTGTGTGGTTAAATCACACTGCAGGTTTGTGTAATGATTTTTCTCAGCTTAAGGAAAGGAAGACTTACCATTTTTAGCCCATCACATCCAGGCTTTTATAAAACCAGAATAAAGCAATTATAAGCAGAAGGAGAATACAGTAGCCAAAGAATCTAAAAAAATAAAACTAACTATATGTAGTCGTACATGTGCTAAATCACTTCAGTCATGTCCGACTCTTTGCGACCCTATGGACTATAGCCTGCCAGCCTTCTCTGTCCATGGGATTCTCTGGGCACAAATACTGGAGTGGGTTGCCATACCCTCCTCCAGGGTTTCTTCCCCACCCAGGGATTGAACCCATGTCTCTTATGTCTCCTGCACTGACAGGCAGGTTCTTTACCACTAGTGCCACTTGGGAAACCCATTACATACATACTAGCACATATTATAATATAGACTGTGCATTTATTTTGGGCTTCCCAGGTGGCGCTAGTGATAAAGAATCCATCTGCCAGTACAGGAGACGGAAGAGACATGAGTTCCATCCCCGGGTCGGGAAGATCCCCTGGAGGAAGGCACAGCAACCCACTCCAGTATTCTTGCCCAGAGAATCCCATGGACAGAGGAGCCTGGTGGGTTACAGTCCATGGGTCACAAAGAGTCAGACAGAACTGAAATGACTTAGTATACCTGCATTTATTTCAGTGTTATGGAATAGCTTATTATACAGTATTGTACAGAGATGACACAGCAAAAATATTTTCAGACTTACAGCTGAGGGGCAAGGTGGAAGCCCCCGAATGGAAGCGAGTGTCATCAAACTCTCCCTTGTATCCTAGAAAAGAAAGCAGCAATTCTTGACAACTGCTTCTTGACCTGTTTATATGTTAGCAGTGAGAATAAATTTTTTAAAAGTACACTGTGAATGAAACAAGTCCAGCAAACCTACTCTTTACCACAACCGAAGCATATGCTGAAAGTTCTCCTTTGGCATTCATCGCCGAGGCCCGGTACTGAGCCGTGTCTTCAAAATCACACCTGAAAGAATGGATGGGATGAGTGCTTGGCCCAGTGACACTCCTGGTACAGTTGTCCCTCAGTATCTGCAGGGGACTGGTTCCAGGACCCCCATGGTTAACAAAATCCAAGAAGGCTCAAGTCCCTTAAGTCAGTGGTCCCCAACTTTTTTGGCACCAGGGACCAGTTTCATGGAAGACAATTTTTCCAGGGGTGGGGCACTGGCAGAGGCAGGGGGCTATTGGTTCAGGCAGCAATGGAAGCAATGGGGAGCGGCAGATGAAGCTTAGTTCACTTGTCCACCACTCACCTCCTGCTGTGCCACCCTGATCCTAACAACCATGGAACGGGACAGGTATTGGTCCTCAGCTGGGGGATTGGGGACCCCTGTTTTAAGTAAAATGGAGTAGTATGCTGAGGCCTCGGTACCCATGGGTTCTGTCTCTACAGATAAGGCGGGCCAATGTAACTCTTGACTGTTTTGTCAAGGATCTCTTTGCTAACACAACACACAGCACGTCATCAGTTAACACACCACTCTTTGGGACTCTTGACAAAGCTACACTTTCTGATCAAGCTCCCTGTGGGATTTTACATAGGGCAATAGATCTACCTACCAACAGCTATAGTCCACTGTGACCCTAGCTTGAGTTAATTTAAAATGTCAAAAAATAAAAGTCAACAATGTGTTGAGTACATAGAGCATGAACAGTGTGATGAAAAGTTGGTTTAAAGTTGTATCTGTTAAAAAGACAATTATTAACATATGATCATGAAAATGTACAGAAAATGTCTGGTCATGTACCTTTGTAGCAGGTAAGACCCGGAGGGGCCTCTCTCAGGATGGGTTTCAGTCTGGCTGTTATAGTGTGACAGAGAGACAAAGAAACAGCCTCTCCTTATAGATGCCCAAACAGGTTCAGGTTTGTCTAATGTGTGGTTCTGTGTTTTAGCCTCCAAGTACAAACAAATTATCTACTCCTCAGTTCTACTAATGTTCAGGCCCACAACACAATACAAGAAGTTCGGAAGTTCCTCTAAGTTATGATGCAGACATAGGGATGTCTTGGGAGACCTGGGTTCGATCCCTGGGTTGGGAAGACCCCCTGGGGAAGGGAACAGCTACCCACTCCAGTGTTCTGGCCTGGAGAGTTCCGTGGACAGAGAGGCCTGAAGTGCTACAGTCCATGGGGTCGCAAAGAGTTGACTCGACTGAGCGACTTTCACTTTCACTTTAGAGAGAGAAGGCTCTCATGCAGAGATGAACAGGCTAAGATTTCAAAGCAAGCTGTTTCATCATTGCCAGGGTTTGTGTTCTTCACTGTTCTTTAGTTTCATTGGTGAAATTTTAATTCTTGTTGAGATTTTATAGACATAAATAGAATCCCAGGTGGGTCAATATGGTTGCTTATTTAATTTATAAAGCAACCACACAGCTCCCTGCCAACTTGTTTGAATCACCATCTGACAGAAAGGATGGGTCTTTAGGAAGGGGTCCCTGCTTGGCAGATCATCCCAGTGTCCTAGGGTTCTGCTTGAAGCTGAGTATGACCTGTGTCAACCTCTCTGATCTGAGAAAGCTATATATCTATTTCTCCTGAGATTAAAATGACTTAAATTCTACTTTGACTTCGCAGCACATCATGGTTTTATTTGAACTGGAAATGCTGGGAGCTTGTGTAACTTCTTCATCCACACTAGTAGGCTTGGATTTCAAAACCATGTTAGAAGACATGATACCCCTTTGAAGACCCAGAATCTTTGATGTGGATTCTGCTTTAAAATCTTTGCTGTTGATCTGCTTTAAAAAACGTTCCAATGTCAGGCCCTGCATCCATCTACCGGTTGGCAAAATGGGCACATAGTTTGCACACAGTTACCGGTGGTGAGCTGAAGGAAAAAACAATTTCTCTAGGTCCAGCTTAACGTTCAGTGTCACCCACCTCAAACTTCGTTGGCCTATACTGATTAAAGGCAAATGTGTATAATGCTGGTGCAGATTTGGGACTCTGAGAAGACTGCTGAATATAAATGCCTATTTTGTAACTTATTTTTCTTGCTAATACCTGAGAACTCCCAAGTACATAAAAGGATTGTTGTTTAGTTGCTCAGTCATGTCTGATTCTTTGCGACCCCATAGACTGTAGCCTGTCAGGCTCTTCTGTCTATGGGATTTTCTCAGCAAGAATACTGGAGAGGATTGCCATTTCCTCCCAACGTAGGGATTGTACTTGAGTCATCTGCACTGGCAGGCGGATTCTTTAACACTGAGCCCCTGGGAAACCCATACAAAAGGTTAAATAGATACAAATGCATTTTTCCTCATCATCTTTGACTAAATTCAAAAGATCACTTTGGGCAGTAACATGGGCTTGGTAAGAATGTCATGATTATCACTCATAGGCGTGCACCAAGAGAAGCAATACTTGGGACTGTCCCCCATCCTGATACCACCGTGCAGGGAGGAAGAGGGGAGAACCCCCCACCAAGCAATTGTCAGGCAACATACACAGACCATGATGTTTCTTACCCAATTATCTCCAGAGTGTGCATTCCATATCGGCTTTCGATGATATACTTTTCAGGATGTGCCTGGACATTTATTGGTACCTGGTTTTTATACCTATGAGACAATGGAAATGAGGTGAAGTAAGTTGAGGTGTAAATAGCTTCACGATTAACACGCACACAATTGTTCTTCTTGAAAAAACATCTGTAGACATAGCACAGAGGTCAGTAGCAGTGTCTGCTCAATAAATGCAAACAAAATTCACTACAAGTATCATAAACTTTCTTGATGAATGTGCTTCCCTCCTCTATTAAAAAAAATACATTAAAGAAGTTGGCCATTCACAACCATGTGTTTGAATCTTGCATACATAATTTTGAGTGGAAAGAGCCAGATACAAAAGAGTATAATGATTGTTTTTACGTAAAGTACAAAACAAGAACAAGATCAATTAATGCTGCTAGAAGTCAGGGCAAGGGGCAAGGATGAAGGCGGTCCCTTGAGTGCTGATTATGTTTGGTTTCCTGATTTTGGTGCTTGTTACCTGGGTGTAGGTGGTCTACAAAAATTAATCAAAGTTCTACATTTATATGCCATACCACACTATTTTGTGTACATATTATACCCCAATAGATGACCTTAAAAATGAAAAGAAAGAAGACCATTGTTGACACGACAGAAAGGAAGGCTCTGAGTGGGTTTTTTGTTGGCTGTCTGTGTAGGATGAAAGCAAAACATCTTTCCCACTGGCATTCCTGCACGTTATTCAAAACCTTGTCATTGCATTGAAAGCTCATTATATTTGTTTTATTTTGTCATGAGCAAGCATAGCTCTCAGCTTGGAAGAACTTAGAATATCAGTCATGAAAGAAAACTACTGATAAATAGAAGCTGAAAGAGTCTCAGTCTTGAGAGGCAGGGGCTCCCTGGAGGGGCCCCTCCTGAGACACTGGCACCTGAGTCTGCACCGAGATTCATCACTACGTCCTCATGTTCTCATGTGTGCTCAGTCGTTCAGTTGTGTCCAGCTCTTTGCAACCCCATTGACTGTAGCCAGCCAGGTTCCCCTGTCCATGGGATTCTCCAGGCAAGAATACTGGAGTGGGTTGCCATTTCCTACTCCAGGGGAGCTTCCCCACCCAGGGATCAGACTCACGTTTCCTGCAGCTCCTGCATTGGCAGGAGGGGTCTTTACTATCTGAGCCACCAGGGAAGCCTCATGTCCTCAGTAGCCAGTAGCTATGGTGCTGGACCTAGCTTTTATGCTTAAGTCATTTTCTGCCCAAAAGGGAAGCTAAATTTCATTTGTTTCCTTTTCAGACATTCCACTTCATGTGCATAGTTACCACAAATAATGCTAGTAACCATAATAGAAAAAGTATTTACTGAGAGTCGGGAAAGGCTCTAAGTACTTTATGTGTAGATTAGTAAATTCAGTCCTCACAACAACCACATAAGGTTGCACTACTTTTTAAAGAATATAAATATATTTTCATTTGGCTGCGCTGGCTCTTAGTTTCAGCATACGGTATCTTTAGCTATGGCACATGAGGTCTAGGTCTAGCTCCCCAACCAGGGATTGAACCTGGGCCCCGTGCATTGGGAGCTCAGAGTCCCAGCCATTGGACCACCAGAGAATTCCCAGTGCTACTGCTTTTAACATCATTCTCCAGATGAAGAAACCCCGGGCACAGAATGGTTAAGTAGCCTGCCCCAGCTTTAACAGCTAAAACAGCAGAGCTGGGATCTGAACCCAGGCGGTCTGGCTCCTGACAACATGGGATGCTTCCATTTTCCAACTGTTCTCTATTTCTTGTTACTGTTTAGTCGCTAAGTCATGTCCAACTTTTTGCCACCACAGGGACTGTAGCCCACCAGGTTCCTCTGTCCGTGGGATTTTCCAGATAAGAATACTGGAGTGTGTTGCCATTAAATTCTCCAGGGGATCGTCCTGACCCAGGGATCAAACTCATGTCTCCTGCTTAACAGGTGGATTCTTTACCAGTGAGCCAACAGGGAAGCCCCATTCTCTATTTAGCTGCATTTTATTTCTTCAGATTTTTGGACATGGTTATAAGCAGATTTGGGAGCAAGGGAAGTTATAGAAAGGGAAAGAGAAAGGAAGTAATCCTCAGCCAGTCCTTTCCTCTCCCCAGCTTGTGTACACACACACATAAACACACATACACACTCACACTCACGCCCTATGTCCCTAAAATGCACCCTTTTCTACACTTTAGAGAATACACCATTCTCCATGTAGCAAAATTGCAACTCATCCTTCAAGGCTCTGATCAAATACCACTTATTCAATAATCTCCTCCATGAAATTCCACACAACATCATTCCCACCTCTTCGCATCAGTGTTACTTGGTTCAAATGGGAAGGTATAACGTTAATCAAATTATGGTTGGGTAAGTGTCACTTCTACTAAACAGTGAGTGCCTTGAAGATGCGGATTCTGTCAGAGCCGTACTGATTTCTATTCCCACTCTTAAGGAAGCAGCCATCCCAGGAAAATATTAGGCAGTGTGTATTAAATTGGACTGAACAGAGTCATTGGGTAACATCATAAATTCAATTGTGCTTAAATTTTGGTGAAGGAGCAGAGTTCTAACAAATCCATCTTTCATGATATGTTTAATTTAAAATCAGCGCAGATGAAGAAGGTATGCTGAGGCTGTTTGTGTCTTGGTTTCCTTGGATGTGAAACGGGAGGGTGGACTAGCTTAGGAATCGCAGCTGTGTAGCAGGTGTAGGGGCACGGCCTTCCGCCCCACCCTTGGGAATCATTCTTAGCTGTTTCTGACAGTCCAGAAACGGCCTCAACAGCTGTCCCCCCACAGGGCTCCAGGCGGACAGGACTGTTTGATCAGAGATGGGCTGTAAAAAGCAATCTGCTGGCTGCTCTTAATTTGGAACATTCCTAGTTTGGATGAATGACAGGGTCGATCACATTAATCATGAGCATGTTCTCCTGACTGAATCGGTTTCGGTCATTTCACACCTGACTCAGAAGCTTCTTTTTGCTCAGTTTACTTTGTGCTGGGGTATTTTCAGTATTTCTTCCCAACATAAGAAGATATAAAAGACACCAAATGTGTGTGACCGGTGCTACTTGACCAAACAACTGAGTGATGCTTGATTTGGCTTCTGACCAAAAATGATGTTCATGTTTCCATAAAGTTTGAATTAAAATAGCATTTGCAGCTCTTAGGCTTGCTTCACCTTCCTTGTCCTTCGGTCCAGCAGTCCCCAACCTTTTCAGCACCTGGGACCAGTTTTATGGAAGGAAATTTTTCCACAGACCAGGGGGCGAGGGATGGTTTCAGGATGATTCAAGCACATTACATTTATTGTGCACTTTATTTCTATTATTTTTACATCAGCACCACCTCAGATTGTCAGGCACTAGATCCCAGAGTCTGGGGACCGCTACTCCAGTCCTGTGTGACTTAGTAGCTCAATGCCTTTCCCCCAGTTTTCTAATGTGACTGCTTGAAATAGATTTCTCTCTCTCTTTCTCTCTCTCTCACACACACACACACACACACACACATTTTCTCTCCACTGGGACTCTATATGTCAGTGTAAGAAGCACCTGTTTTAAAGCAGCAGACAAGGATTAAATGAGGAAACTATTCAAATCTGTTCTCCAAGGAATTCTCCTTGCGAGGCACTCGGGTTCAGAACCACTTGTGATTGACTGTCTTCAGTATCAAATCAGAGCAGAAAAGGAGAATTTGAGGCCTGCTCTGTGTACACTTCACAGCTTGTTATTTCTGGAAAGTGAAATTCCAAACTGGCCACTCATCAGCTAATTTTAGAGAGTAATCTACACCCTGGGACTATTTATCAGGTTTCTGAAATTCTTTTTTTTTTTTTTTTTTTAGGTTTCTGAAATTCTTGTGAGTATTTATATGTACACCCTTTTCCTCATCATTTTCATGTAAAGTTGTATGAACGACTAGTTAATGAACTTCTGTTACACATTATTTCTAGACTAATACTCTTCATTTATGTACGTAAAATACACACTTATTTTCCCCAAACAAATGTCTGTCTGGATACTAGGCTGAATTTGATAACAAGGGATTACAGTGAAAGCTCTTTGGCAGTGTAAAGTGTGGTCAAACAAAAGGACTTCACTCTAATTTATCTTTGTCAGCAAATAATGCTGCCAAAATTATCTCTGTCATGTTGAATCCCCTTCCCCCAAAAGTGTGGTTAGAATGCAACCCTATTGTTTTGAACAAACAGCCATTACTCACTTTAAAAACCAATTAGCTGAGAGCTAACTCTTCTTTAGCATAGAATTTGGATGTAAATAAGAAAAATCTAAAATAAAATCCCAAATCCTTATACTTCAAAAGTAATTATAAAGAAATTTTAATATTTTAAATACAGGTTGTTTTCCTACAATAATATGTCAGTAAATGCTAAATTTAAATACACTGTGAATAACTCTAATCTTGTAAAAAATTCAATGCATTAATTCTACCATGGAATTTAAGAATTCTCATAATTTGCAAAAATAAAATAAGACTTTTCCAAATCTCCAGACTCTTCCTAAAATATATTTCTCATACTATCCTATCCTTAGGTTTTGAACTATGATCATGTTCACTGACAAGTTTAAGTGTCTATTTATCTTCACACTATCCCTGAAGTGGCAATGACTTCAGGGATAATGCAAAGAATTTCAAATATGTATTTTAAGTGTCTTGCATGAGGATCTAACCCAGGTGCTAAGTTGCTCCAGTTCGACTCTTTGCAACCCCATGGACTGTAGCCCAGGATCCACATATAAATCTGAAAACAAGGACACTGAGTGTGTGAACACATGAGTTTTACGTGATAATAACAACATATTGTTCCAGGAGTTGGCGTGAGCCTCCCTGCAGATTATATAATCCCAATTTCCACTGACAAAAATCAATCTAGACTTTGGGCTCAAAATACAATTAAATCTGGCTCTGTAAAAAAAGAGGGGGTACAACTAATCTAATTCTCTTTCTTTTAAAGAGAACTTTTCTCCCCTATTTCATATAGCTTCTTACAATCTGACCAGGCAATGTGAGCATATGATCCAAGAATCAGAAAATATAGGGATGCCCAGGGAACATTCTCTTTTCTCACACCTATCTGCCTTCTGCCCAGCTCCTCCCCACAGCTAACTGGTCTCCTTAGGTTCTTATATGTCCTTCCAGCTTCTTTATGCAGGCAATAAAGATACAAACATAAATGCTTTTCCTCCCCCCTTTACAACAATATACTGCCTATTAAACAAGTTATTATATAAATATAACCTATTAAATTAAACAACTGGTTTTTCACCACATATATATTTCTCCTTCTCTGTTGGCTAGCCCTCCTCCTGGATGGCCAGCTTCACTACTGTGTCTTCTGAAACTAACTTTCCTCCTGAACCCGAGGCCCACAGGCTTCCTTCTGCTCTGAAGGTGAACTGGAATAGGGCAGTGCTGCTCAGCATCTCTGCACCTGGCCGTGATGAGTGATGGTGATGAGTGATGGGCCCGCCTGTCAGTAAGCGCTCTCCAGGTACCCTCTAGACTCCATCCAGATTTAGTCAGTATGCCAGGGGCTGGCTGAAGAGCAGCTGCAGCATGTTGATATCATTTGTTCAACCTCAGGGATTTCCATGGCCTGAGGGTGCCAGTGGAAACCTGGAACTGAACGTCCCTTGGAAAGGAGTCTTAGGGAGTCAGACCCTGTGCACATATGACTTTGAAAGATGTGGCTTAGGACCTAAGTGGAGACAGCACAACTGCCCGCAGCAGCATTGGAAACTTGTTTCTGTACTTGACCTTGTTCTATTCACGAAGGTCATTCTCAATGGTTTTTCTCATCCTTGTACTCAGAGTCAGGCCCAGGAGGCTGCAGCTCAGTACAAAAGAGATATCAAGGCCAGCAAATAAATTACCAGCATCTTGGTTCTCGCTTGAGTTGTGGGTTCCCTGCTCATTGAGGGGGAGGATGCTCACCGAAGATTGTGTAATCTGGACCAGCACCTTGCAAAGTAAATTAGAGCTTCATTGAATGATTATTTTTTAAAAAGCAGCACACCCAGGAAGGTATTAATATATTAATCCCACATGAAATTTACTCCCAGAAGTGGATTTACCTTGAAACTAGTAAAGCTGAAGTTGCAGGGTCTCTCATCATCACAGGTCGCCATAAGGCTCTGTGCTTAATGCATGTGACTAACTTTATAATCTTTTTTTACAAAGGATGCTCTTCAAATTGTATATCCCTCCTGCCCCACAAAACCTTAATCTGACCTTAGCTATTGCCAGAACCAGTTCTTAGCTAAGAACTAGCTATCTGCTAGCTGATTGTCCAAATTTCAGCTTTATCTAGGGGCAAACCTTGCATGCTAAAGGAAGGTAAACTATTTTCTCAGTGGTCCACTGGTTCTTTTGTTTTCATATTTACTTCCCACTTGACTTGCAAGGCAACAGGGCTTTGTGTGAAGTGCTCTGATTCGTCCCTCCTGGAAGAGTTTCTGAACAGAATGGATTTGTGTTCTCCAAGCACCAAAGCAGGCGCAGGAACTAGAGAAGACGTCCCAGTCAACCAACAGCCTTCCAGTCCTTCCTGAGACAAATCTTGTCTCTGTGCCTTTGTTTTTTATTAAAATGAGCCCTGATGCCATAAAATTCACATGTTAAGGAAATAAATATTTCAAAGCTTAAACATGAAAGATTTGAGGGGTCAATCATACTCCCAGTGAGGATAACTAAAAACTGACAGTATTTCTATTTTAAAATTTGACTGGAATTTTCAGAGTTGCCAAGTTTAGTCATCTCATATTTTTTCAGTGGAGTTTATGTCCTTTTGTTTGTTTTTAAATCACTCCTTTTTCAGCCCAAGAACACCATGTGAGGAGTTTAACCTCCAATGGAATTTGAGCTCTGACTTTGTGGAACCTCATGACTCTGGCTTTAGTGACACCATCAGTGGTACATGGCATGTTTGTATTCTAGTTACTGTGTATTTCACAGAATAAGTACATGCTTAAGAAATTAATATTTATCTCCTAGAGATCACTGTGTATTCTTTTGAAAATCATCTTTAACTCTGATGTTTAAAAAACAGGAAAACAGAGATAGGACACTGTGTAATAAGTATATCTACTTAAAGACTCCAATTATTCATTTACCGGTAGTATATTTTAATTCATTAAACATGAGGAATTTTTTACTCATCAAGTAATATTTCTCAGAGCTAAAAATTTGTTATTCTTTATGTATTTCTTTCTTTTTTTTTTTTTGCCACACCACACAACTTCTGGGATCTTAGCTCCTCAACCAGGGATCGAACCCACATTCCCTGTATTGGAAGGCAGAGTCTTAATCACTGGACTGCTGGGGAAATCCCTCTTTATGAATTTCTACAGGGAAGTTTGAATTTTTTCTGAGGTAGAAAGTAATCAGTTTTTAAGAGGAAATGTCCCTTTTATAGGCCAATCTACACAACCCAATAGGCAGAGAAAAAGGCAGGGGGTAAAGATGAATGGATTCCTAGCTTACTATGTTTGTCAGTCGTGTCCAGCTCTTTCCAACCTCATGGACTTAGTCCAGGATACTGGAGTGGGTTGCCATTTCCTTCTCCAAGCGATCTTCCCAACACAGGGATCGAACCCAGGTCTCCCGCATTGCAGGTGGATTCTTTACCAACTGAGCCACCAGGGAAGCCCAGCTTACTATAGTATACTCATACTTCTAAAGCTTGGAAATTGATTTTTTTTTAACTTAATTTTCATTTAAATATGTTCTCACACTTCTCATCTTTGTTTACTATAAATTATTTGTCTTGGTAATACAGAACTGGCTTTGTTTTTCATTCTCTCACTTTCAAACTCAAGAACCCTGGGAAAAGTTTGTAAAAGTTTATGTACAAGAAAAACTGTATGTAAATCCAATTTGATCACAGGCAGGTTGATATTATAGGTGAATTAAAAAAAAAAAAACCTCACCACTTGCTCCTTAAGAACAACCTTAGGTAAGGGTTTATCTTGTCAGTCTCCATTATGTAAGCCAGGTGTCCAAACAACATCAGAAATGACAGAAAAGGGAGAAGGAGCTGGCGCCCTGTGGGCAACAGTACCATTCTCTGCAGTGTTTATACTGCGACACAGGGCATTTACCACACTCCCAAGGGTAAGAAAGCAGCGTGCAAAATACCCACATTGTAGAATAAGGCAGAAAACACCTTTTAAAACTGGTTTACAACCCTCTTCAGATTCCCACTCTCCATGGCAGACATTCATGCCATATAAGTTCTGATTTTAGGGGTTACCAAGTCACTGACAATAGCAATAGGATATATAATGGACGGGAAAAAGGGGAGCTTCTTCAGACCTCATATTAGAAACAGCTCCCCGTCCCATCCCCTTCTTTGTTTGGCTTTAGAAACTAGGACCTCAGCTCACATGAAGACTAGAGATGAAGCCCTCTGGGCTTTATTTCTCTAAAAGGTGGCATTGTTTTCATCACAAAATGTTACCAAATAAATATGCTGACTAAATTTTAACACTTTATGTAAGATAAAGACCCATTTGTATAAGAATATTATAAAGTATCATAATAAATTATAATGGATGCAAAATCATTCTTCCTTCCATGCATGTATTCTTTCTTCACTATTTAAAAAAAGTTACTCAAACTTACAGATGCTTTCACTGACTCTTGCATGTTCATAAATCCACATGTGTTCACAGGATTTAAAATTAACTTTGGGTAATCAATTCTATGAGAAGCTTTCAAAAAGATAGCGTACCATGTGACACGAGGTTCTGGCCAGCCAGCTATAGAGCAGTGTAATTTTACATTTTCTTTCTCCCAAACAGTATGGGAACGAGGTTTAATGATAAATTCAGGAGCATGGAGAAGATTATCTTCATTCAACTTTTTATGAAATGCCTCGGTTTCTTCTAACTGAAAAAAATTATCAAGACATGAAATCAAAGTAACATGCTACAAAAATGAAATGTAGAAATCAAAATGATCATTTTTTCATTTGGAGTCTTACTCTGGTATTTGGAGCAAATGAATTCCCCTCATCCCTTTAAAAAAATAGACATATCACTTAATTTTTAACATTCTAAGCCTGAGCAACATATTGTACTTTCCAAAGGTGGATTTCTTAAGGTTCTCAAGAACTTTAATTTCTGTAGAACCTAAAATTTCACAGAATTTAAAACTATAAAGTCTGTCTTTCTTTGAACTGTACATTTTGATGTCTTTTCCCCTTTTTTCTTAGTTGTTTCTCCACAAGACCACACATTTCTTCATTTGAAACTAATTAATCTATATTACACACATGCACATGTTACATGCATTTCTACTTTGTTAAGATGAATTTTTATGGCAGTAGAGTTGATTTACAATGCTGTATTAGTTGCTGTGCACAGCCAAGTGAATCAGTTATACAGATACATGTAAACACTCTTAGATTCTATTCCCACGTAGATCATTACAGAGTATTACGTAGGGTTCCCTGTGCTCTAGAGTAGGTCCTTATTAGCTTCTCTGTCCACAGGATTCTCCAGGCGAGAATACTGGAGTGGGTTGCCATGCCCTCCTCCAGGGGATCTTCCCAACCCAGGGACTGAACCCAGGTCTCCTGCATTGCAGGCAGATTCTTTACCATTTGATCCACCAGGGAAACCCATTTTATATGTCGTGGTGGCACTTACACTTTTCTAAGTTATGTTAAATTGTCTTTTCTTACCGTTTTTTTCAGTGACAGATGTTCTGCCTTTTCTCGAATGGCAACTTTCCTTGACTTCTTCTCAAAGGCCTCTTCTTGGTGAAGCGTGGACATGGACTGCTTAGATACTGAGGACTGCTTGCTGGCTGTTATGCCTTCCTCACTAGCAAGGAGATTCCTCTGGGCTATGTAAGCAGCAGCTTCTTTAATTCTTTGCTCTTCCGTATCTGTAATTCCACTGACATGCACTTGGCTAAAATTAAATAACAACAAAATATGGCTATTGTGGATGTCAGTGATAAGATGGCCCAACTTTGCCAAGTTCAAAGCACCAGACCTCAGATGTTGTACACTGTGCCCAAGTAGAACCTGACATACAACACACTGGCCCATAGGAGCTAACTCTTCACACATGGATGTGATTGTCACCTTAACAAATGATAATGACAATAGTAATACCTATTATGGCCAGGGTGCTCTGCCAAGTGCTTTTTGCATAAATTATCTCATTTTCCCCCACAACAACCCTTTGAAGTAAACTGTATCCTTTCTACTTTAGACATATGGTAACAAGGCCCAGAGAAGTAAGCTAACTTGAGCAACATCATTTCTTTGGTTTCCTTAGTGTGTTTAAACACAGTTTAGTCTGTAATAAAATATTAATTTATAACTTCCGTCTAGAAAAGACAGCATTGTAAAATGACAGACAGTTGTGTGACTGGGTTTCTGATTTATGACTAATGTGCTTGATCTGGATTCTGTAACTCAGATGATGGAATGCATTGCCCAGAGCTGCTGCACACATAAATAAGCTATAAATGTATGTGTGATCCTTATGCCTAGCAGGTTTCCTTTCCAAAATAATAAAGGTTATGAGGGACTTCCCTGGTGGTACAGTGGATAAGAATCAGCCTGCCAATGCAGGGGACATGGGTTTGACCCCTGGTCTGGGAAGATCCCACATACCACAGGACACAGGTGTTGGGGATGGGGGAGGGGGTGGCAACTGCAATTAGGAAAACTCAAGTACACTTAAAACATATTTTTGACCCAGAACAGCAGGGCCATTTGCCTTCAAGTAAGTGCATATGTGTATGTCAGTGATAACCCTGCTATAATCTGGGCATAAGAGCAAGAATATGATGCTAACATCAAAAACACATTCCTGAAAGTTTCAAATAAATTTAAAACCTTTCCAATCCTCTGTCTCAATTTGAAACGTGTTGCTGACATAAAGTTAGCTCTACTTAGACTGTGCATGTGTGCTAAGTCGCTTCAGTCATCTTTGACTCTCTGCGACCCCATGGGCTATAGCCAACCAGGCTCCTCTGTCCAGGCAAGAATATTGGAGTGGGTTGCTGTGCCCTCCTTCAGGGGATCTTCCTAACCAGGGATCAAACCCATGTCTTTTATGTCTCCTGCATTGATAGCTGGGATCTTTACCACTAGGGTCACCTGGGAAGCCCTACCTAGACTGTAAGAAGTGGAATTTTCAAGTGCTGTCCAGAAGAAATCATATTCTCCAAAAATGTACTATATTTGCATTTTCCAGCCCTAGGAGGACTCTTAGCTCAACCATTACAAGTGTCTTGATTTCCTTGTGCAAAAAATTGACACACTAATACCTCTCCAGGGCTGAATGGAGGACTTAGAAGGATGGTTTATATATAATGCACTTACAGTGATTTCCAGCAAACAACAGGTACTCAACAAATGTTCATTACTTTCCTGTCCTCTTAGATGTTAATATTGTGAACATCATTAAGAAGTGTTATCTTCATAGTAATAGGATATAGGAGATGGCTCCATATAAAAAATGAAGAAGAACTGGAAATAAAACCTAGAATATAAATTTTTTATTAAAAATTTCATTTATCATAGCTTAATCTGTAAATAAATTTTTGAGACTGGTCTGGAGGGGACAAAATGGTTTGGTGGGGAAAGGGCAGGAAGAAGCTGGAGAGGGTGAGAAAATTCATTTTGTGCCCACACAGGTGGAGAGTCGTGCCATATAGGTTAATGCTAAGCTGACATGACTTTTAAATGATTTTTTTTTAAAGCACAAAATTAAATATTTTTCTCCTCCAAGCTAGTCATCTCCTGAAAGGAATATGAGTGCTATTAAACCAACTGTGAAGAAGCTGAGTCTGGGCAAGCATACTTCACAATATAAGCCTGTTTGTCTGTAAAGTTCAGTTTAAAAAATCAGATATAAAAAATCAAAGATATAAAATAAAAAGCTAAAAATAGAATATTATTTATCCCTTTCCTAAGTAGGTTTGCAGCAATTATGACATCAGCCTCTGAAGCAATTGGGAAAGGAACCATCAAAAAGCAATGGGAAGAGAAAATGCAGGGAAACAGAAGTAGGTCACCAAAAATCACAGCCAAGTTATTTCCTACTGATTTTCCGGATAGCTTTTGCCCGGAGAGGGCGACCTCGTTTTGAACATCACATTAGCTTTGTGAATAATCTCCATTCAAAGGAAAAAAACAGGGAAGGCTCAGAAAGTTTCTGTTAAACTTTAATTTGGTGTCTTAGACAAGTCTCCTTTCAAGATTTCTTTGTATATATTATCATTCAAAAATGTTTATATTATAAACAGAAATTTGGCATTACACAGACTTGTGATTTAGTGATTATTTTGTTTGAATTTTATCTCAAAATAAATAGTAATCTATTTTATATTTAACAAATATAATCCAGGCATTCAAGCTATGGTGCAATGCTTTTAGTCTATATTTCTAAGGATTTTTTTCTTCCTAATGAATAATAATTAAAACCACACTGGCAACCAATCTACCTAAATATATCATTTGATTTTTTTCTTTTAGTTTACCCAATACTTTATAGTTTTAACCTTTCTTTGTGCCCTAACTATAGCACCTGTATATAGTGTCCAATCACTAGCATCCAATACTTTGCTTCTAGTTTCAACTAGTTACATAATTGGAAATAAGTCTCTAATCAATCTCTGTGGTCATATAGCCATCCTATGTGATGGCAAACATTTTTACAATGATCACATCTCCCACTGTGCATAGTTCCAAGGTTCCTCAGACCTTTCTCAACCAGTACAAAGTAAATGCTCAATAAATCATAGCTGATATTACTATTACTACCTGAAAACATTTATTCCCCACTTCTTTTTTAAAATAATTAATTAATTCATTAACTTGTCTGCACTGGGTCTTAGTTGCAGTATGCAGGATCCCCAATCTTCACTTGTGGCATGCAAACTCGTAGTTGTGGCATGTGAGATTTAGTCCCTTGACCAGGGATCAAACCCCTGCCCTCTGCATTGGGAGTGTGAAGTCTTAATTTTAAATAGTTCCACCAGGGAAGTCCCTCTCCACTTTCTAAAAATCAGATCCAGGGAGAGAATCCATACGTACCGTCCTGAGAAAATAGGCACCATGTAGTCACTTGGCAGATTTTCTTTCTCCTCTCCAGAGAGAAGGCTCTTCTTGGCTCTCTTTGTTTGGGGGCTCAACTTGGATGAATAACCTAACATCAGACTGGAATCTGTAAGTCTGACCAAAAAACACGCTAATGTTAGTCAATAATTTAAAAAATGTTTAGAAGTTTTAAATTTAGGAGTGTTGCATAGACTCCTAGATGGCTAATGTCATAATTGTCTTCTATCTTTAGAACTAAAATAGAGTGAAAATGACCTCACATAATGCAGTCTATCCAGACATAAGAAAAACAGGTCTGTAGTAATTTCATGGCTTTTTCTCATTAAAGTTTCAGGGGAAAGCAGCTGTGCTTTGGTAATATTTCTGAATACCCTTTGCTGTTAAATTTATGTTGGAAATGTAGGCAGCCTACATGAATGGTTTGGATACATTGTGCATGCAAATGCTTTCAGAGGATTGATAAACAAAAATAAAGCAAGTTTTCTGTATGGAGAGCCCAGGCAATTCAGGGCCTTGAGGTTGAACTTGAGGTTTTTTTTTTTTTTTTTTTAATTTATTTATTTATTTATTTATTTATTTATTTTTATCACAACCATAGTGTATCTTTTTTTTTTTTTTTTACATGTATTCCCCATCCCGGTCCCCCCTCCCACCTCCCTCTCCACCCAATCCCTCTGGGTCTTCCCAGTGCACCAGGCCCGAGCACTTGTCTCATGCACCCAACCTGGGCTGGTGAACTGTTTCACCCTAGATAATATACGTGTTTCAATGCTGTTCTCTTGAAACATCCCACCTTCGCCTTCTCCCAGAGTCCACAAGTCTGTTCTATACATAGGAGTCTTTCTGTTTTGCGAACTTGAGGTTTTTGTATAAGGTAGTAGACTCCATTTGAAAGAACACTGAGCTCATTAAACAACAGAATTAATATATTTTAGATGAACACACAGCATCAAGTGACTCAGAAAATTACAGATTTGATAAAGAACCTTTTGATAATGCTGTAGTACACATAAAAATCCACCCATGCACACTGGTGCACGTGGTGCTTGGAGGCAGCTATTGTTCTAATAAAGCAAAAAATGTGTTAGAGTGGAAAACAAGACAGCTGAGATTGCACCTAGAGAAAAGGATTAAAAGTACATTAAAAGTACAATCTTTATATAGTTCTTGGATGAAATGAAATGCATTTTCATTCAAATGCAGAATTTGGCATAAATTTCAGGAGTTCATGGAATCTCTGAAGTCGATCCATGGACTCAGGTTAAAAATCTCCATTGTAATGATAGAAAGTCACAATAAGAAATCGTACAGAAACTCTGTATGACCCTTGCAATTTTTATATAGACCTGATTTGATTCTGAAACTGAAAATTAATATTAAAAAGATCTCTAATACATGGAATCTAGAAAGATGGTAGGGATGATCCTATGTGCAGGATAGCAAAGGACACACAGACATAATGGACAGAATTTTGGACAGTGGGGAAAGGAGAAGGTGGGATGATTTGAGAGAATAGCATTGAAATATATTTGTTACTATATGTAAAATAGATAGCCAGGGGAGTTTGCTGTATGATGCAGGGAACCCAAAGCTAGTGCTCTGTGACAACCTAGAGGGCTGGGGTGGGGAAGGAGGTAGGAGGGAGGTTCAAGAGAGAGGGGGTATATACCGATGGCCGACTCATGTTGATGTATGGCAGAAACCATCACAATATTGTAAAGCAATTACAATTAAAAATAAAATAAATATATATATTTTTAAAAGGTCCCTACTGTCAAGAAAATTTGAAAAGAAAATGAAGCATGTGAATGGTGTGGCATGGAAAAACCAAGCTGCCTGGTTAAAACAGAAAAAAACCTTCCAAAGAGTCCAAACCTTGATTGTTTCTCAATCTTTAAAAAACATTACGAAAAGCAGGGATTACTTAGATCAAAAGAAGACAGTGCATAGACATAGTACTAAATGGATACACAATAATGCAAATAAACTTATCCTCTGCTAAGCAAGCAACACAGAACTCTTGGGCTTCTGGGAAGCCCTGAGAGTACAGTGGTTCTGGGCCTGGGAGTATAGGGTGGGCTACAGACTTTAATTCCTGGAGTGGAGGGGTAGCATGGAAATAACAAACCTCTCCCTCCCCCACTAACTGCCCCTCCCCCAGGGTGAATATGTAGCTCTTATTCTATGATCAGCATTAATACTAAAGGTTAGAACCTTGAATTCAAGCTTGTGGATTGGTTACCAGTTGGAAGGCTTAGTGAAATTTGTTCCTGGGTGGCTGTTCCAAGCAACAGCAAAATGATTGCATTCTAAACCCTTAGTGAGTTACAAAGTACAGGCTGTGCTAATACAGGTCTAAGTTTAAAATGGTATTTTCCATCACTCCTTTAATTCCATTACTGTACAAAATAAAATTAATTATGGAGTTTGAGCTTTTTTTCTATTTATAGAACATTTGCATTTTCTAATTTTTCTCATTTCTCTGTTTTTGCTCTTTTTACTATTTATTTTCATTCTACTGTCTACATTCATATCCTCATGAGCGTATTTTCAATGTTTGCTTATATTAAAAGGGGACACATATATAACTACAGTTGATTCATGCTGTTTGACAGAAACAACAAAATTCTGTAAATCAATTATCCTTCAATTAAAAAATAAAAGTCATGATTTGTCATTCTTTTTGTTGTATTGTTGTTCCTTTTTTTTCAGTCATTTTTTTTCCTTTAAGATAAATCTTTCAAACGAAGCATTTGTTGCATACAATATGCCAGAATGTGATTATTCTATTCTCACAGGTAAATCACAGCAGACAATTTTTAATAGTTGAACTTTATAGTAGAGATTTATGGGACTATCATTAGTTTTTATGTCATATTTCATTTGGAACAAAAGACTTCATAAAAGCACTGTGATTTTATATAGTACATAGTATTATTTAGAAAATCCAAAGTACTTAGAAGATATCAAACATTTGCTATGCTCTCTAAAGTTTCTTCAAGCTAACAAAAAGAGTGTATTTAGGATTAAAAGTTAAAATACTGTGCTAACAGACTATTTGGTAATGTTAAGTCATTTATCAAAATTAACAAACAAAACTCAATCAGATGAAATTTTAAGAAACTGACTATGCAATAATTGTGTAACTAATTATGTGAAGAAAAGCCATCAATTGTTTCTTTTGTTATGACCCAAGAACATGGAAACCTAACATCTTACTCTATCAAATTTTAAAGTCAAATAATGTTTTTAAAGGAGTTCAATAGAAAATGTAAAATTTAAATTTCTTTTTTAAATTTGAATTTCTTTGAAGTTACATCAAAGAGCTAAATAAAGGCTTGCTAACATCTTGGGCTTTTAGTTGCATCTAAATTTTGAAAATAATCCTGTCTCAAAAGCCAGTTTCTGAGTAGACACTTTAAGTTTGATATGTATGGATCAATGTGGTCTTTTAACTATTAAAACTATATTTAATGTTCTTTACGTCTTAAGTCTTGATTCTTTCTGAATTTCAAATTATGAAGGCAGTGAAAATAAGCTACTATGTTTAGTTGCTGAGTCGTGTCTGACTCTGTGAGTCTATGAACTGTAGCCCTCCAGGCACCTCTGTCCACGGGACTTCCCAGGCAAGAATACTGGAGTAGGTTGTCATTTCCTTATGCAGGGGATCTTCATGACCCAGAGATCAAACCCGTGTCTCCTGCATTGGCAGGTGCATTCTTTACCACTGAGCCACCTGGGAAGTCCCTGAAACAAAGGTAAGCTTTGAAACTATAGGTAAGGATTGATTTGTGTGTGCACGTGTACCCACGCATCTGTAACTGTGTCTAGGTACATCTACTTGTACTCCACTACTAGTTGTGGTATGTCCTCTGTTAATATGCCTAAAGTTAGTAGAATTTAAGGATATGTCACGGCTTGTTTGACATCATCACATCTATGACCAGCAGCACCCCAGAGAAGGGATATAGCCCAGGAGAAAGCTCTCTCTAGAAATGTTCCAGGGACTCAGAAATAAACTTGCACTTCATCTAGTTCAAATACTGAATAACAACATAACCTTCTACTTGTACAACTTCACAATTATTCTTGACAGGAAAAACAAGAACAAAACTACTATAGAATCACTGAACTGGAAGAGATCTCAGGGACATTTACACCACCCTCCTTGCTTTATAGATGAAGAAGACCTAGAGTGTCTTTGTAACTTGCCTAAGTTTACCTGGCAAGTTGGTAGGTGAACTAGGACCAGCACCCACATATGTTAGTGCTGTTTCCTCTATACCAGTGGCCTTCAACTTCGTGTCTGAGTCTTCTCGATCCAAACATATTTGATCATGTCACCTATATATGTCTGTCTATTTATAAATTTTATACATATACTGCTAAATAAATATTCTCACTTTGTGAAATTTCAACCAATAAAAAAATGTTCAGGGCCAAATTTAATTTTTTTAACTACAGAAGCGCTAATATATCTTCCTACATTTCCTTGGCTTGCCTTCATGGACTCCCCACTTTGGAAACCACGACAACATGTCACACTGCCCATAATGACTCTGATGTTGATTAACTATTCCTAAATTTATTCACATCTCACAAAAAGTCGAATGCAACTGAGTAAGCACAGCACAGAACATAGAGGTTATGAAATCATCACAGTCCAATTAGAAATAAAGCATTAATAAGCTCATTAAACTTTACATGAAGTCAAAAGCTAGTTCTTCAAAGTCATGTTTATAATCATCACATAATTGTGAAAAATTGTCCTAGTTCCTCAGGATGAGTAACTATGCCTGCTTATATTAAGTATGGATCTACTTAATGGCTATATTACTTTCTGAAAAAATTATGACAATTTATCAGCATGTTCTAGAAAAAAATGATGGGCTGTAGGCTTTGTCTTTTGCTGACACTGCTCCCAAACCCAGCACTACCCACCCACATATGCTCATGATTATATTACATTACTGATTTTCTTCTCTATCTGTCCCACTCCTGTGACTATTCAAGGAGAGGGATGGCCTAAAAGTTACATTTATATCCTCAGCACTGTGTCCAGTGCCTGATAGTGTTCAATAAGGGTTTATTGAATGAGGTGAAATCAAGATTAA